ATAGTTTTACAACAGTAATGACGATAATTTACAGAATTTTAAAACTATAGATATCCATCGGAAGAATATTGGGTACAAGTAATAGCTTTTCTAAAAAAAACTTGCCGTCTAACAGCTGATTATGTTTGAAATTGTTTTTATCTTTGTAGTTTCTTCCATTCAGGGAAGGCCTTTCCCTAAAATCCATTAAAAATGTATTGTAGTTCCAAAACATAAATTTGAGAAAAGCTCATTACACCTTTAGAGGTTTGAAATTTCTTTTTTGTGGATAATGCAAACCATTGGAAAAGGTTTTTTCACCTGTGATTTTAACTTTTCCACAATTCGGTAAAGACATGTAGGTGCTCTGGTTTTTCTATGGATCTATTTTCCAGCAGATATTTAATTTATTTACTTTTGTTTTTTTTTTTTTTGTATGCTTGTGTTGCCTCGGAAAAGTATCGCTATTTTATTTCAAGTGTATATGTCTCATTTATACATGACGAGTGCCACATGTTGAGCAGGATCTGCTCATCCTTTCGGAGCACATAACATCACCCCCGGTTATTGTTGGGATTCGTGTCGATCAATCTTTAGTTTTATTTTGTTATGTGTTGTGTACTGTTTGTCTTTTACTCAACACTTCCTATATAAGTATTTTGCCTAGCAACTATTCCCTACCAAACTAGACAAAAATTATGACACTGCTGCATTCATCAATATAGTGCTTCAACGATTGAATTGAGTAAAAAGTGGTATTGCCATACAATTTGAAATGGTTGTGTTTAAAGGACACATTTGATGCACCCGCCAAAAAAAAGTTAATCATTCTGTTATAAGTGGAACATTTAAATGCAAGATTAATTATTGTGATTTCTGTAATATGCTACAAACAAATAATGCTGTCAAAAACTGAAATGCATTTTTTTGTGCGATACTTATTGCGTCGCATTTTACGCAATGATAAAAACATCGCAAAAATTTCGGACAAACTTGCAACCATCTTGCATAATTTCACTAAAAAAGGCAAAGTTCAACATTCTGTAATTTGTAGACATTTTTTTAATCCGGAGAATGTGCACCCTCCTTTTATATGTACAAATACTCAGCATAATATCAAAGTCCAAGCTTGAAAACTGTAAGAAAAGTAAGCCGGAAAACCAACGTGCCCTGAATACCAAATAATACCAACAAAGTACAGAGTTAAACAACCTATCATTTGTGGAAAATGTTAAGAAAAGAAAAATCCTGACTGCACACCTTTAAAATCCGTAATTACACTTTACATTATATTCAAGTTTTAGCTTAAAACATGTAGGAGAAGTAAGCCGGACAAACCATCGGCATGTACCCTGCATGCCTTATATTACTGAAATGCAAAACAAAAAATCATCAACCTGTCATTCGTTGAAAATTTAAAGAAAAGCAAAAATTCTGACAATATGCACACCTTTAGTGTATGTACTAACACTTTAAATATAAAAGTTCTAGTTTGAAAACTGAAGTCCTGAGGAATAAGGAGTATAAACCTCATACCCTTTGTGGAACGCATGGACCGACTAGGGTAAAACAATTGCTCCCGATATTTGTCGCGGTTGTCTGATACATATTTATCTGAATTAATGGTATTCTATATTATAAGTCATTTGGTGACAAAATATATGTTTGAGTAAGCAGTTCATATTTGAAGCGGAAATTTGGAGATCTCAAAATGTATCAATGTTATAAATACTTGGAGTCACCCAAGAAATGCAAGAAATTAAAAGTTTACCAGAAATATGTAACAGTAGACTGAAATGTGTTAATTCCCGCCACATTCTTAACGTGCCTATCCCAATTGAGGAGCCTTAATACAGAGGTTGTCGTTGGTTCATGTCTGTCATATTTATTTCGTAAATTGTTTTGTTATGATTTAGGTCGTTAGTTTTCTCGTTTGAATTGTTTTACATTTTTAATGTCGGGGCCTTTTATAGCCGACTATACGATAAAGGTTTTTTCTCATTGTTGAAGACCGTACGTTGGCCTATAACTGCTTACTGCAACTTCATTTTAACTCTGGTAGATAGTTGTCTCAGTCTTTTTATGAGTTCTACGCCATGTGTTTGGAGAGAACCAAGCTCTGGGTTATTTCTATCTAATGTAATGTTTTGGCTGTCATGGTTCTGTTGTCTTTTTTCTTAATAAAATAAAAAGATATGGTACAATTGCCAATGAGATAACTAGCCACCAGAGACCAAATGATGTTTTAGTTGTCAATTATAGGACACAGTAAGGCTTTCAACAAAAAACAAACTCTTACCGTATATCAAGCTATAAAAGACCCCGACATGATAAACGTAAAACAATTGAAGCGTTAAAAATAACGGCCTGACTAATGTAAAAAATTAAACAATAAACGAAAAACCATATGATATACAGCAACAAACCACAACCTCTAAATCACAGGCTCATAACTTAGGACAGACACATACAGAATGTGGTGGGTTTAAACATGTTTGCGGGCGAAAAACCATCCCCCTAACCTGGAACAGTGGTGTAACAACACATCATAAGAACAAACTATAAAAATCAGTCGGAAAAGGCGGGACTCTCCCTATCGTCAGAAAAACAACTAACAAAAAGACTTAATTAAGTACTGAAGACACAAAGTACCGATTTGAGAGTACTCGAGGTTACTGAAAGCTAGTTAAAAGCCAATTACAATTAATAAAACAAAACGTCATAAACAGTCAGAGAAAAACATGATATCGTGCAATGCCAAATAAAAGATTTATTTGACAGAATGTAGGACCGTAAATGTTCATAGGTGTATAGCAATAATATTTATAGTTATTTTTCAATTTATTGATAACAAAATCAATGTTTGTGCCGATGAAAACAATATTCAAAGATCTTATTTCAGTGTTCAATTGACAACCTTTTAGAAAAAATAGATTTAAAGGATCGATAAGTTACAAGGATCATATCTAAATTTACGGGCTCTATAAACAACATCCGCGTAAAATTAGGATGTGATATCCCGTTTGTAATAAGTTTTATACAGGTCTTATGTAATGCTTTGGTTGTCTTTTTAATTTTTTTTTTTCTGTTTCACGTAATGCTGTAGTTTTTGTTATTTCTGTCTAATGTAATGCTTTGGTTTTCTTTTTGTTATTTTTGTCTAATGTAATGCTTTGGTTTTCATTTTTATTATTTCTGTCTCATGTAATGATTTGGTTGTCATTTTTGTTATTTATGTCTAATGTAATGCCTTTGTCGTCATTTTGTTATTTCTGTATAATCTAATGCTTTGGTCGTTATTTTGTTATTTCCGTCTAATGTAAATTAAATGCTTTTGTTATTATGCTGATACTTCTGTCTAATGCAATGATTTGGTCGTCATTTTGTTATTTCTGTCTAATGTAATGCTGTAGTTCTTTTTCTGTTATTTCTGTCTATTGAATACTTTGGTTGTCTTTTTGTTATTTCTGTCTGATGTAAATAATTTAAGTTATTTCGTCAAAACATATGCATTTATGAGACGTAACTTGGATGCAAGAGACTATTATGGAATATTTGAGTAACTTGTGGCAACGGATATGTTCAATTTTTCGAATCGCCAGTTCAATCATCCTTTCTTCGTTATGATTTTCCCCTGACGGGAATCATCACTAAAAAGTACAATAACAAAAATAACGAACTCCAAGGAAAATTCAAAACGGAAAGTCCTTTATCAAATGCCAAATCAAAAGCTCAAACACATCAAACGAATGGAAATCAACTGTCATATTCCTGACTTGGTAGAGGCATTTCCTAATGTAGAAAATGGTGGAAGTTAAACCTGGTTTTAAAGCTAGCTTAACCTCTAACTTGTATGACAGTCATATATAATTCCATTATATTGACAACAATGTGTGAGCAAAAACAAACAGACAAAATAGGTTAAAATGTCAAAAATTCGGGAACAGCAGTCAACATTGTGTTATAATCTCTAAATTTCATTGTTCATGAACAACACATCGGTTGTCATTTGTGGATCAGTAACTGTTCCCTCTACCGGAGTACCAGAATTAACAGCGGGTTTTCAATGGAAGTTTGTTGCTCAGTTTGATTGTCTGTGTAATGTTTTGTTGGCTATTGTTAGTCTTGATGCATCCGTTTGTGTTCGTGTTGCTCATAATTAGATTTCTGTGTAATATTTTGTGTACTGTTATTTATCTTTTCGTGGTTTTTCTAATGGCCATGATGTTGTCTGTTTTTATCGACTTGTGGTTTTTGTTTCCTCATTGGTATCTCAGGAGCCCAAATAACTAAACGAGTGTTCACTTACGTACCTGATAAACATTCTTCCACGAACTCGTGCACAGTGAAATTAGTAACATTATAAATTGTGTTCCAAGTAAAGATCGTATGGTCCTACGTCTGTGAGTTGTATCTTTAATATAATAATCAGTTATCTGTTAAATGTTCATTTACTGCAGATTTCCTTCTGTATGTGACATTTATGGTCGACGATAGATCTAATAAAAAATTACAACTTTAAAATAGATTTCTAAACCAAATTGCAAATTAAATTTCAATTGTTAAATTAATTTCCGATGATAGATATTTGAGATTTTCGTTTACTCCATTAATAAATTATATACAGATAATGTTTGTCTTTACGGTATTTTAGTAAGACATTTTTCTGAATGAAAGAAATCGTGAATGGGGTATTTTAAGCTAGTACTTGAAATAACTGAGGGTAATGAATTACGCATACTTTGACAGAGGTAATGATGAAAACACAACAGTGATCAATTGGAAGTCTAATTGACTGAAAACAATTATCAGTTTCATACTATATTATTAAAAGAATTTAGAGAAACGAGAATATTTAAAGTGGACGATATCCATTACAAATAATCAACGACCTTTAAATTGCGATGTTACTATCATATCATTACTGTATTACCGCTAATGCAAACTTATTTCAAGATGTGGTATTGTCCTACTGTATAACCAAAAGATAAAAACACCTTTCAGTTGAACTAGAGCGTTGGAATATCAACTATTGGCAGGTTTAGTTTTGGACATTTTCCACGTGTTTTTACGGTTTTTGTTAGCCGAGTTTTCTCTAAAATGTCAGAAAAAAAGCCATACGAATATAATACAAAGAATGGAGATACAAAAATTGTACACTCAGGCGATGTCGAAATCCAGTGAGTAGTTAATTTATTTATTCAGTTTCTTTATATGATGACTTTTGTGTGTGGGGGGGGGGGGGGGGGGGGGGTCCTTAATTTCTGTAATTTTTACGGCATTTTTTTTATCTTTAAAAGTAACGTTCATTCTGTAAAATTCTAATGAAAATGATTTTACTTTTTTTTGTAATCAGTTGATTTCTTTATTCTGTATTCAGTATTGTTTTACCCAATTCTTTTATTTTTAACAGTTATTTATTACACTTTTGCACCCTTTTATTCTCTTTTCCTCGCATTTTTTGCTGATTTTTCTCTATTCATTATTTTTCGGGTCATTGTTCTCTTTTCTGTAAACACCATCGACACCCTCTTATATTCGGTTATAATTCACAATTGCAGACCACTGGACGTTTAGCAAATAACATTCATGCAACCATCAATATATCAGTATAACAATTCAAAACAGTTTCACATTTTCTTTAAATACTAACTTCTTTTAATCTATCGTTTTTTTTTATTTATACTTTTCCAGATTTATTTCGAACAAGTACAGCTACATTAAAAAAAATAATCACTTTAATTTTAAACACAACTCGGAATGGCGTTCAAAACATGATAATAATAATATAACTAAAAAAAACTACATGTTAACGTTTTAATAAATGGTGGAAAATCATTGACGTTTCAGTGTTAATAAATTCATGTACTATTGGGCACGATATTATAACCAATATTTTTTAGATGTATCATGCATATATTAAGTTATATAATTCACTCTCATCGATTAGATTTTAATTATTTTAATAATGCAAGGATATATATTAGTAAAACTCTCACTATAATAAACTGCATTTAATCAGCAAAAAATAACTGTCTACACAAAAGAAGGGAATCGTAAAACATCACATTCTCTGACATCTGTTTCATTGTTTTGATTGCATGTACAACATTCAAAAATTTAAAAAAAATTATAATATCATACGTAAATTGTGGAATTTTTAAACTATTTTGTCTTTGCTAGTTTTGATAAGGATCAATGAAATATTTCTGTATCGTTTTTGCAATCAGCATCAAAACAGAAAAAACATGAACTGTACTGAACAAAAGATCAAATTAGATATAAAGATAAAAGTGATTTCGAGTGTGATATTTTAATGTCCGATTTCTCAATAAGATTTTTTTTAAAAGTTCTTTGCATTTTAGATTCTCGAAGATATTTTCTAACTACGTAAATGAAACGTTTATTCAGGTGTTAACAACGGTAGCGTTACAGATATGAATATCAGTGCCCTACATTTGCTAATTTCTCTGTTGCATACATCACAGGTATTTTACATATATCTGATGACGGTGATGTTTGAACATGGGTAAATTGTGACAGAGAGGCTGGTTTTTCAAAGTTATATGTCCTCATTAAATGACTAGAATCTCATAACCAAAAAAAGGACACTCAGTTCGATGTGATTTCGTTGTCACAGATCGAAAGTGGGGATGATGATATAGTTTAATAAACATGGCTTCATAAATACTTATACCACAAATAACTTAAAACCATAACTAAATTGTTTCATAATAACACAAAATTGGTTTGGAAGTTTGGCTGTACCTGTAGAAAACATATTACAAACTGGATATCACGTCCTAATTTTTATGGGGATGTTGTTTATAGAGCTTGTTTATTTAGAAACGATCCATGTAAACTTATCGATCCTTTGAATAAACTTATTCTAAAAGTCTATCTATTTAACACTGTCATAATATAGTATTTATTGGTACAAAAATTAATTTTGCTATCAATATTTTCAAACAGAACTAAATATTATTTCTATACATCTTTGATATCATATTTGATTTTCGTTTACCGATTTGTACCTATTAAAACAGGCCGTCAGTTTTCTTATTTCGATTGTTTTACATTTGTCATGGTAAGACTTTTATAGCTTGCTATGCGGTATGGGATTTGCTCATTTATAACGGCCGTAAGGTGACCTATAGTTGCTAACTTTTACGTCCTTTGGTCTCTGGTTGAAAGTTGTCTCATTGGCAATCACACCACATCTGCTTATTTTAATATATAGACAATTGTGTTATTTTGTTAGATTAAATAAAAACTAACATTTGGCTAATTAAACCTGTGTTTCCTTATGCATACGTTTGCTGGTAGCTGTTCGATTGTCTGGTGTAAGAAAAAGAACATCTCCTTATTGTTATACAAAACTATTCAGAAAATATTTTGAAAATAAAACAAAATTAGGAAAACATTTGTAAGGTTAATTTCTCAGGGAAAGGATTATAACGATAGTTGTTCGGTTCATCAGATAACATGTCTTTTAGGTTTATTTACCTTGGAGTTTTTACCCAATTATCACTTTATTTCATATTATATCTATTCTATTCTAAAGATTGAACAACATACCTACATAATTGTGGCATGTCTATAAAAGTCCGTCTTACGGTATTTTGTTAAACTAAAGTCTGGGAAAGAACTTAATTTAATATCCCGCGTTTGTTAAAGGTACAATATAGTATTGTTTTCATTATTTGACTGACTTTTTTCTGGTAAACGTCCAGTGACAAATATTTAAGTAGATTCAGGGCGACAATAGACTAATATTGTATCAGTAGGTAGAATCTGAAGAAAAGGCATATCTGAGAATTACATTAGAAATGGTACTGGTACTGACAAAAAAGCACATGTTGTATTATAAGGACAGCAAGTTTTGTCTTGCATAGAAATATAAACTTTCTGACAAATTGATGTCTTGGTTATTTATGCACACAACTCTTTGCAGTCCACAAACACGTGTTTTTGTTTGACGTTGTTTGATGTGCACGATCAAAATATATTTATATATCCCGCACAACAATTCGGCGCACTTCAGAAAGGATAGGTCGTCACTCTTATTCTATAGCCCAGTTACCCTCATCGTTTCTTTATGGTTGTCAAGATATGTCTGATTGAAATATGAATTTTGTAGGTTTTTCGCTGAAGAATTTTGATACTGAAATAAAGTTAACTAAATTTGAATACACTCATGAGAAAAGGTTAAACTCAACATTTTCTACACATCAATAATTTTTAAACAGCGTGTTTTTGCTGTGCATATTTTTTTAAACGGAAATATTTGAAGAACATGAGTTGCTTACACCTCAGGCCCAAGATTATCATTGTTTCTTGATGCATGCATTGCCGTTTAACAAACAAAAAACCCAGAACATTTAAAACCATCCGAAGTTATAACGTTACCGGGGGAATTTGCAAACACCTTTTTTTAATTTTTATTTTTGTTAATGTTTTCAAGTGTAAATCCTGTAAATGTACATAGACCCATTGGTGGCCTTCGGCTGTTGTCTGCTGTATGGTCGGGTTGTTGTCTCTTTGACACATTCCCCATTTCCATTCTCAATTTTATGATAAATTTTAGCGGTCCACAGCAGAAACGTATACTAGTAAATCATTTTAAATTGAATACTATCACTGATATGAATTGCAATTGTGTTTAGATATGTCCGTGGTCAGTATCAACAGCTCATTGATTTAATTTATGACTACGGATATTAGGAAAAATTTATTTGTTTAATACTGATTTAAGAGATTTTCAAAATAATGTTATCAAGTCTATGCGAAAGATATGACCGACTACTGTCTTTTGTCATAATATACGGCGCCGTTGTTTTCTTTCAACCACACACACAAAGTAGACTTCAATAAATTTTGTCATATCATTTAATCTAACAAGTAGATAGTATGTATACTTAAGCAGGTATAAGTTATTATATATGTAATATGTATATGCATGCATTTGAATGCAATCTTATTTGAATGTACATAATTATATATCTAAGCACATGGTCAAAAAGGTACATTATATATCACATCAATAATTTGAAAGAGACCAAAGGCTTTGTAAGAAATTTACTCTAAATATTCTATTCTATTCTATTCTATTCTATTCTATTCTATTCTATTCTATTCTATTCTATTCTATTCTATTCTATCACATCACAGATTTCGAACTTTGAATAACTTTCTTGTGAAGTAACACATTCGAACATCTCGACATTACATTTAGACGTTACTGAAAGGTGTATTTTTGCTTGTTTTGCTTGTTTTTTTTATGTTAGGCTCTTATCAACGAAAAATAACGATATAGAAGATTTAAATTGATTTGACAGAAATAATAAGATAAATAATTGATATGGCAACCCATCGATTACATCATTTCCAAGGAAAATATCATAATATCTATACAAGAAAAAATAAATAAGTTGCCAATTACTATCATCTTTATCGAATGGGTTCAATTATTGAAGAATACAAAAACATATAACTTTTCACGTTCTAACACCTAATTTAACATTGAAAACACGACTAAGATTTTTTTAAACGAGATATTCAATTAGATACTGATTGAGACTTTAAAATGGATTCCAATAAACAGTTAAAATTTCAAAAACCTTGAAATTGCCGTTTTTAGATATTAATGAAATTTTATGAAAATTTTCTTTAACATTGTTAAAAGGTGTCAATGTTCAAAATATCAAAAACAATAGTACAATTTTAAAATCTGTGTAGCTACATGAACTTATTAACTAATTATAAAACTTTGATCTTTCTAAATACTAAGGATTTTCTAACCCAGGAATAGATTACCTAAGCTGTATTTGGCTAAACCCTTCGAAATTTTGGATCTTTTTTATTGCTCTTTAACTTCGTACTTTATTTGGCCTTTTTAAAGTTTTTGATTCGAGAGTCACTGATGAGTCCTTGGTCGACGAAAAGCGCGTCTGGAGTATACAATTTGGAGCCTGGTATCTATGATGAGAGCATTTATTAGTATATGTAAACTTTAATAACGGTGCATTATTTCCCTATATATATATATCTTCCCTTTAGTTGAGGAGTAAGGGAGTTTTTGCTTGACGGTTATTCATATCTATATATTTGTAGATTCCAGGACAAAAGTAAACGAACATCCTTAGAGAAGATTCTAATTGCTGTTATATTAATGTGTGTTGTTGTTATTGTTATTTTGGCCATTGTTGCAGCTATCAGAAAAAAGGATACACAGTCGGGTAATTATTTGAATTAAGTTGATTCTACAAGTGAGCCAGTGGCGGATTCTTTACGCCCCCTCCCCCATTTGATCGCCCCAAAAATTGAATATATCATGTTTTTCACGATTTATATGAGTTTTTAGCATAAAATCGTCCACAACATTTTTGTGTATATAATCAATTTTATGGAATTACGTCCCCTTAACTTTAAAAAATCCTGGATCCGCCGCTCTGAGCTAGTTTATCTTCAAGCATGCAGGATACGAGCTAAAAATCTAAAGTATTTGCGATTTCATGTAAAAACCGAAAATATTGAGCAACACGAGTGGAGATATTCTTTTTACTGTGTCAGCTCTTATAGGGACCTCATAAATAGGTACATGCTTGAATTGATATTGATGCTTACATTAATATAGTGTTACACTAATAGTGTGCTGCAGAAATGGAGTTGTGGTCATAAGACAAATATTTTATAATCAGTGCAAGGATACAAATAAAAACTAAGGTTCGCACATAAATTGTATATAAGCTCAAAGCACTGGATTCCCTCCTTATCCTAGAAAATTAAAATTAAATTAAATTTCAATATCATATTATTAAATATACTCAGGCAGTCGTAGAAAATAAACTGTTATTGAACTTTATTTTCATTTCCACTTTTCCCAGATTGGATCTGAATGTACTCTAACCATTTTAATTACCATGCTTTATCTACATAATCTAGAACAATCCTTGTTGTATTAGTGCCATCGTAAAATAATGTCTATAGATAACCATGATAACGCCATGTCTTTTCAGAAACAATTGATGTCTGTACGTCAACAGAATGTACAGTAACAGGTGAGTGTCGTTGTTAATTGACTTGTTTTATTTAAACAACATAACACAATATTACTTACACCGGATAGTGAAATTAAGAATGTCATTCAAATATAAGACCAAATTAATAAAACAAGCCTAGAACAATGTCGCAGCATTTTGTGTAATGGTACTGGAAACAATAAATGAAATTTTGTAATTATACTCACAGGGAGACAAAAATTACGCGCATAAATGTTAAAAACAAATTCAAATATTAAAGATAATTAAAAATTGGGTTCGAATATATTATTAACTTGAATCGTACTATTTTCCCCCATCTCATTTTGAAGAGCATTTTCATTTTTTTTAACCGTTGTAAGTTGTGTAGACCACTCCTTTCTTTTCTAAGACAAATGACAATAATCGGTGTATGTGTCTATTATCTCCCTTTTGACCCTTGGGGATATTGCAAAAAGGAGGTAAAGAAAGACTATATAAAATATAACAAAAGCAAAGGCAATCAAACTCGAAGGTTCGGTCTCGCCTCCCTCCATTCTAAGAAAATGTAAAAAAAAAAAGAGAAAGAACAACGATAATGTACAAAATTAAAAGATATTTTTGAAGTTTTTATACACTGAAAAAAAACCAGCAAAATGATATCGATCAAAAATGAAACAGAATGATTTGGAGGTAAAAGTAACAACATGTCTTTCAAACGAGAGAAAAAGTAACAATATGTCTTTCCAACGTAGGAAAAGTAACAATATGTCTTTCCACCTGGAGAAAAAATAACAATATGTCTTTTTTCCAACAAGGAAAAAATCAAAAATGATATCGAACAAAAATGAAACAGAAAGATTTGGAAGTAAAAGTAACAACATGTCTTCCCACCGGAGGAAAAGCAACAATATGTCTTTCCACCGGAAAAAAAGTAACAATATGTCTTTCCATGCACCAGAAGAAAAAGTAACAATATGTCTTTCTACCGGGAGAAAAAGTAACACTATGTCTTCCACCGGGAGAAAAATAACAATCTGTCTTTCCACCGGGAGAAAAAGTAACACTATGTCTTCCACCGGGAGAAAAATAACAATATGTCTTTCGACCGGGAGAAAAAGTAACTATATCTTTCTTCACCGCAAGCGTAGAAAGACTTGAAAATACTCCCACATCTCAATGTTCGTTTTATGCAATTTCTTGGGTGCGCCCCCGGTCTGTATATTTTATAGAGTTGATGTTAAACATTAATAAGAATTAAGTTGGTTCATTAGTGAACATCCATGACTCGGTAGGTGGATACAACTGTAGAGGTACCCAGTTATGTATGCTTTAAAGTTTGTTTTTGTTAAACTCTCTTCTTTAAATTCCACCATCTTTTTTTAATCATTGCAATGTGTAATCGCTGGTCGGTTAAATTGTGGTCCTATTTCCGCTTCGCGATGCATATGATCTAGTGTTTGGTAGTTAGCCATGATTCACTGTATAAATAGTCACCCTAAAAATAAATTGAACATAGGCTACCTCTCAGAATAGAAGACTTTTTTCAGCTGCTAGAGTTACTGACGCCTTAGACGAGACTGTTGATCCATGTGACAACTTTTACGACTTTACATGTGGAACATGGATGAAGAAGACCATCATATCGGAGGACCGGTCCAGTATTGATATGTTTGGGGTTGTCCGAGATGAAGTAGAGATTACGCTAAAATGTAAGTATTGTCATTGCATTAAAAAAACCAAGTTAATGTAATTTGTTTGGGGGGAGGGGGGAGAGAGGATTTTTTTTAAAAACTAAATAACCTTGCGTAAGACTATAACACCAATATTCAGCCTTTAAATATGACATTTTTGTTCACAATTGTAGCTCCTCTTTAAATAAAATCCTGATAACTATTTTAATCAATTAAAAAAAAAAAATATGTGCAGCTGACCATTTGTAGCCATTAATTATCACTACCGACTATAAAAATAAGAAAATGTGGTATGATTGCCAATCAGACAACTCTCCACCAGAGACCAAATGGCATAGAAGTTAACAACTATATGTCACCGTACGGCCTTCAACAATGAGCAAAACCCATACCGCATAGTAAGCTATAAAAGGCCCCGAAATGACAAATGTATTTAACAGTTCAAACGATAAAAACAAATGGCCTGATTTATATACAAAACAATGCAATGAACGAAAAACAAATATATAAACCACACCAAACATCAACCATTCAATTACAAGATCTTGACGTATTATTATGTTGTGTACAAAAGATTATTTTGTTCTACGATGAAAGCTGTAGATAACTGATATTTTATTGCCTTCAATTAACTTTAGTAATTTAATGTATTGTGAAAGTGGTAAATCATGGAAGAATATTTCTTATAATTGACAAGTTTATTATATCAACAGATAAATCTGGTATGATTAGGTATAACACAGTAAAATTTCACCAATTAGCAGGCACTTGTCTGCGATCGTAATTGTAATAATGAAAAATGATAGCTAAAATAAGTGTAGTCACGTTTCTTTCATATAATATTAACTTTGATTATACTATATTTTTACAACAACAACAAAAATACAATTGATTAATTTGAGAAAAACAGTAAATATGCCTTTTTCATAGAGAAATATATATGTTATTCGGGGAATTTGGTATTGTTGGTAAGTTTTCGACAATTTCTGCTACTACGGGGGTGTAGAAAAATCTATTTCCCGTTTTCGCGTTTTCGCCTTCGCGTTTTCGCTTTCTTGATTTCTCGATTTCTCGATTTCCCGATTTCTCGAATTTCTCGATTTCGCGTGAAAGGGAAAGGAGAAAACGCGAAAACGCGAAATGGCCGTATCCAGCAACCATACGATTGTTATATACATGTAGGTATATGTTTTGTGAGTGTGCTATTTGGTGATCGTCTTTTTGTCGCTTACTCAACATCTTCCCTTATTCATTTGAATAATACGATAGAAACGGTTCATACGAAGAAGGCCGTACGGTGACCTATAGTTGTTAATTTCTGTGTCTTTTGGTCTCTTGTTGCAATCATATCACATCTTCTTATTTTTATACATAATAACTTTTCAAAAAGGCATATGTGTGTTTAAAAAACACTTCACGTGGGTCTCGCATGACCATAGTATCTGCATATTTTTTTGTAAGGGATTTTGAAACGTTCAGCTCGTAGACTTGTAATGTATTACATGTATATGTCACAAGAAATGTATAAGATTTGATATATTTTAAAACTCTGTAATATTTTTACAGATCTTTTGGAAGAAGACGGTCCTGATAATGAACCCGAAGCCGTTACTAAAGCAAAAGACCTGTACAAGTCTTGCATGAATCTAGGTGAGTAGCCGTTACTAAAGGAAAAGACCTGTACAAGTCTTGTATTAACCAAGGTGACTATATATCTGTTACCAACGCAAAATACCTGTACAAGTCTTGTATGAATCAAGTTGGGTAGCCGTTACTAAAGCAAAATACCTGTGCAAGTCTTGTATGAATTAAGTTGAGAAGCCGTAACTAAAGCAAAAGACATATACAAGTTTTGTATGAATCAAGGTGGGAAGCCGTTACTTAAGTAAAAGACATATACAAGTTTTGTATGAATCAAGATGAGTAGCCATTACTAAAGCAAAATACAGGTACTATACTTGTCTTGTATCAAGGTGAGAAGCCGTTACAAAAGCAAAACATATGTACAAGTCTTGTATGCATCAAGTTGGGTAGTCGTTACTAAAGCAAAATACCTGTACAAGTCTCGTATAAATCAAGGTGAGTAGCCGTTACTAAGGCAAAATACATGTACAGGTCTTATATGAACCATGGTGAGTAGCCGTTACTAAAGGAAAAATACCTGTTAAATCTAAAATGAATCAAGGTGAGTAACCATTACTAAAGCAAAATACCTGTACACTTTTTGTATCAATGAAGGTGAGTAGCCGTTACATTAATTAGATATAACTACCAACCGTAATGACACCATTTTTTTTACAAATAAGATTCCCAACAAACTACCTGACCTCATTAAAAACTTTAAAAAAATCTTGTAATAAAATACCTATTTAGAAAGTATCAGAGATTAATTGATGTTATTACAACACTAAAGTATACAGCATTTTAGAATATATGGTGGTGAACAAAGTTTCAACAAGGATTGCTTAATTTAGACAATCTCTTTGCCCACAATGGACGGTTTAAGGAAAATGTGGCTCTAAATTCACGGATTCAAAGTATTTGCGAATAAATATATTAGGATGGAGCTCATTTTGATATACGGTTCACAATTCCATCTTGAAATAATCCATTGATGGCAGACACGACTTGCTGCTAAAGGATATATGGTACATATTGACGACAGACGTGACAGGACTGCTAAAAGATATGGTACACATAAGCATATTATATCAAAACTGGCTCATCATAGGGCGTCAAGATAATATTAAGATAAAAGGCAAATCCATATATTTGTTTACTTATGTTGCAGTGAACGCTTATGTACTACATTTAAGAGTGACATTTCAAAACAGTCAAGGCGATGTTGACAATTCAATTTCTTCGTTTTAGATTTGATAGAAAAACACGGTGCAGCAGTTCTAAAAGATTTAATGGCGGAACTTGGAGGATGGCCGATGATTGGTTCTTTTAACGGTGTTGAATGGAATCCCAATAATTTCAACCTAACCAAACTTTTGCTTGGACTGCTGAAATACAACAATAGGATTCTAATGGATATGTATGCATACACAGACAGTAAAAACTCCTCAACAAGAATTCTTTTTGTAAGTCTGATATCAAATGATTAAGGATGTACTTAGGTGAGGTTTATGATTTTTGTCAGATGTTCAGACTCCTTGGTTTGTTTCCTACGATACAGGGTAAAATATTTTGCCCCATAATACCCATTTTTCTTTTCATATAAGACTTCAATAGCTCATAAAATGTAATTTACCAAAATTTCAGCAAATTCTAGATTTCTTTTCTTTGGATTTGAGACCCAAATAATACCAATGCAAATACAATGTATAAGGTAAAAGTCCGAGTCCGTCTTTTCCAGCCATTTTAAAAAAAATAGATATCTTGAAAAGAAGCGCTATAACCTATCAATAATTTTAGCTTATTTTGTTCCTTAACTAATGCTTTTCTGACTTATAGTATAATTTTAGATTCTAGATTTGTTTAATTTCACCTAAGTACATCCTTAAGACATTGCCATTAGTCGTATTTCTATGTAATGGCCAGTAGAAACAAAAACTACTATATATTTGTATGGATGAATACGATGGAGGTTCCTAACATCAACTTAATTTGTGCAACACCTAAACAGCAATAGTTAAGAGAAAGGAAAGATAATACTGGTGTAAAGGAGTATTCCTACTCTTGAAAAGAAAAATTACAACTACCATCTAGTACTTTGTTTCATAGAACGTTTAATACATACAACTTTTCAGAAATTTCTAGGTACCTAAATATACCTTTTACGAACCAAGAAATATTTAAATCACTAATTCAAGAGAAAGATTCTATAAGTATGACATACAGATACCAGACAACTAATAGTATTTGTTGAAAAAAATGCAAAACGCCAAAAAGCAAAAGATTACAAATGACGCCAAAGACATGTTTGAATTGGAATGATATCTTAAAATTAGCAAATGTGTGGATCGGTTTTTCAGCTAAGAATTTCTGAAATATCTATACCGAAGATGTATCCTGGCAACCTAACACTGTTAGTGTATACGATCTTTCATTATGACTACATTTAGGAATAAAAGGAGATATGGGCACACGTTAATGATACAACAACCTAACGACACAATAAAAACCAGAAGACATTTAGATGTCAACCAAAAAAAATTTGCATTTAACAACAGACAAATGTTTAAACATTAGGCCGTGCATCTAATCTCACCGCGGGTATAAACAAGTAGTGAAATAGTTACTAGAGATAAGGTGAAATAACAAAAATACCGAACTCCAAGGAAAATTCCAAACGGAAAGTCCCTTAACAAATGGTAAAATCAAAAGCTCGGACATATCAAACTAATGGAAAACAACTGTCATATTTCTGACTTGGTTAAGGCATTTCCTTATGTGAAAAATTGTGGATTAAACCTGGTTTAATATCTAGATTAACCTCTCACTTGTATGACAGTCGCATAAAATTCCATTATATTGACAACAAGACTATCGAAGATCTCGCATAGTATTTAATAATTATACAGTTGGTTTACAACAAAATGGTCTTGTTTTGGTCATGTTTATGGTAATTTCCGATAATTGCTACTCTTCAACGTTTGTATTAGGTTTTAAATATTTTAATACTTTGGCCTCAAGAACAAATTAATTAGCGAATGTCGCATTTGATGCAATACAATTGGTATCATTAAATGTTATTTTACTATGATTTGTCATTATTTGTTGTTTTCTCTGAATAACTATTGCTTTTAAATTTATTGTATACTACAAAGCTTGAATAAAGTGATTTCTAAACAGTCCTGAATTAGTTGATGTGAACCTTTTGAAGTTGAGTATATACAGTATCTATATTCATAATTACTCTAAATATCAGCACAACAATGTTAAATCTGCAAATTTGCGGAAGCAAATTTTTGTTCTTTCCTCGCCGGGATTCGAATTCATGCTATTGGGATATCGAGACAACACCGCCTGCACTGTGTCCAGCGCTCTAGACCACTCGGCCACCTAGACTGAACTAAAAAATTCAGCTTTCGGTGGCCTAGTGTTACCTTTCCTCGTCAGTAGAATCTAGAGATGTAACACAGTACATGATATATTAGGCATGAAGATGGAATTGATTGCATATTAGCTAAATTATCTGTCATAAAGGATCGTAAGATGCAGTCACAAAAATAATTATATGATAAGTACGTCTAAACAAGTGACAACTCTACGACAGATCCATCCATTGGATCATATATATATACATATATCGAAAAGTTACAAACATACAACCCTTTTACAGTTTTCTTTCACATTGCTCTGTTCTATTTCAAAAATTGTGTCTAATTCTATTAATTAGTTTTTATTTTACCCATCTGAGAGATACGGATAGTCTAAAATAATGATAAATCTCAGAACTTGAAAATCGGTTAAAATATTATAATTATATTTTTGTTGCCTTATTTTAGATAAAAGAAAAACAATGGTACAATTGTATTTGCAACTTTTATCTTGTCTTATATCATTAAAAAAAGTGAACTTATGTAAATTGTAAGATTGTACTTTTTTCAGATTGACCAGGCAGATTTTGGTATGCCTGGGAGGAAATATTATTTGAAAGAAAGAAACGATACTATGATAATGGCATACGAAACTCTAGGAAGATCCATAGCAATAGAACTTGGAGCTGATCCAGATGTTGCTGCTAAAGATATGGAGAAAGTTGTAAACCTAGAGATAGATCTTGCTAATGTAAGGATAAATCAAGGTCAGAGTATTTTGATTTGAATAAAGGAAAATAATCAGAAGTTAGTGAGACAGTAGTCCAACCATACATAAAGACATAGAGATTAGCAAATAGTCCTCAACTAAAGACTATTATTCACACCTTATATATCACGACGGGTGCCACATGTGAAGTAGGATCTGATTACCCTTACATGAGATCACCATGGTGTTTGATGGGGTTCATGTTGCCCAGCCTTTTAAGTTTTCTATTTTGTGTTTTGTAGACTGATATTTTCGACGTTTTTCGTTTTTTTTGCCATGGCATGGACAGTTCGACTTATGAGTTTGAATATCCCTTTGGTAACTTCAGCCTCTCTTCTACACATAGCGGGTGATCCTGATTCAACAAGAATACATACCCATCCGAAGCACCTACGTTTACCAAACCTTTAAGATGTATTTCTCTTGACGTTTCCCATTTATGTTGTCTATACTCTATATCATTTTTTAAATCCTCCTTTACTTTGTTTCATTTGTGAACACGGGGAATGGATTCAACAGACACGAATAAAGACAGTGATCATTATTTACAGTTTTTTTTACTTTGGACAGTTGGAAAAACACATGTAGCATCTTAGAGAAAGGTGCTGCAGCAATATTGACAGTGGCCCATTTTTGATAGTATTTTGCAAAAACTCATTTGTTTTATTAAAATGTTCTGTAATAACATTTCAAAATTGTTTTGAATTAAAGGCTGTATCTCTCTTATGCAAAGTTCTGATTCTTTGTCCGGGTTTGACTTAAATCTGGGTTCTGTTTGGATTTATCTGCTCTTTTTCGTTTGTTATAGATTTTGGACGTTCATTCCTTTTTGCCTAGATTATCACTGAAAAGCCATTAATTGCCAAAATGCGCATCTGTTGCGGTAAAATTGGCACTGTTGATGTTATTGCATACAATTTGTGATTTTGCCGCAATATTACTCAAACATCTCACCTGAACGTTGCTGGTAATTTTGCAAAAATATAGAAATGGCATGTAGACAGGAGGGCCAATTTCAATATTTATGACTAGTTAATATAGCGGGTTTAACCATGACAAAACGTAAAATAACAAAAATACAGAACGCTAAGGAAAATCCAAAACGGAAAGTCATTTATCGAATGGCAAAATCAAAAGCTCAAACACATCAAACAAATCCGGAAAACAACTGTCATATTCCTGACTTGGTACAAGCATTTCCTTATGTGAAAACTGGTGGATTAAACCTGGTTTTATAGCTAGCCAAACCTCTCACTTCTATGACGGTTGCATAGAATTCCATTATATTGACAACAATGTGTGAGCAAAACAACCAGACATAATAGGTGAAAATGTCAAAAATTGGGGTACAGCAGTCACTTTGTGTTTTAATCATAGTCAATATAAAACAAATAAACTATCACAACAAAGAAACACACCTTTTCTGTAACACTTTATTCCATTTAAACCTTTATAATTTAACTTACTGGGATATTCTTTGACACTTACCATAATGACTCCAGCGTTCTTCATTTTACTTGAAAAATCTTGTTTAGAAGTTTGGGTGACTAATAATGAATTGATTTAATGTGGATAAAGTATTAAAGATCGGGTTGATTTTTATAGATTACTGTACCAGATGAAGATCGCCGTGATAATGAGGCATTATACAATAAAATGCCGCTTTATGACCTGCCTAAAAACTTTACAACTGCAAACGTAAGTTATCAATATAAATACAATTCAGATGGTTCGACGTTAACTTTATTTACCAGTTTTTGATCATTTTCAACAGCGTACAAACATTTCTTTCTTAACATTCTGCTAAGACTGCGTATCGCAACAGAATTAAAAAGGTGTTTTTTCGAAAAAAAATACAGATTATATAAACAGCGCTTTTAAAAATAAAAAAAAGGAAAACTATCGTTTACAGTTTATATTTAATTTTAAATAGTAAAATTAAACAACATCAATTTCTAAATAATGTTTTTTTAAATAATTCTACTGTACGAAAATGCCATGCTTAAAAAAAGACTTGACTGTGTTAACTAATATATATAGACGATTGATTTAGGCAATTAAGATATGCTTGCTGTCATTGAATTGCAAAGTGAATTTTGAATATTTGGTAAAGGATTCAGCACATATATTGTTGGGTCTTAAGTGGTGTCATAGATGCAGTGAATACCTTTGAAGTAATCTAGAATGCATTCTTATTCATTTCAAACATATAATTGGAAGTCAGTAACTGTTATGTATTAAGTAATTTTACATTTATTTGAAAAGCTGCCATTCAACTGGATTGACTACGTACAAGGAGCATTAAGCTCGGAGATGGTACAAATAGATGTACCTATTGATGAACCAATAGTTGTTCGAGCACCTCTTTATTTTGAACGTCTATTCAACACACTCAGTAAATATGATAATAGGTAAGTCATGGATCTAGCCAATTATTCTGTCACAGGAAGTCATGTTGTTTTTCCATTGTTTTCGGACAGGTTACCATCACCATTATTTTTGTAAAGTTAGTAGACAATGGCAACTTGCAACAACTTTTCCACCAGATATTAACATACAATTTACAAAAAAAAAAAAAAACAGATCTTAACTTTAGTTATCAAGATTTGTTTGCGAAAAGTGTAGTCTTTTAGATGGGCTATACTGAGACTGCAGTCTCAGGTTTATACCAATCAAAAGTGCATGATAGGGAATTTCTTTGCTAACTAAATATGTTTTTTTCGTGTCTTTTGACCTTTCATTGACTAGCATGCCATTTAACATTTTAGTCAAAAGAAAGAAAATATTTCATTGCAAATTTGTAGTAATAAATCTTATTATTTACAAATGTATCACATTGTGTTTTTTATAATAACTTCGAACCAATCTGGTTCCTGGCGCTCCACCTCTTGACTTCAACTATGTCTCAGTCAACGAATAGGTACTAATAATATAGCGAATAATTGTTTTGGTTAGTGATATATGCAACATATTTCAAATTGCAAGTTTTATTGATTCCAATAATAAAGTATGCAATACCTAGGAGTACTCTGTTTGTATTTATTTTAAAGGACAATAGTGAATTTCATGATGTGGAGAATAATGCAAAACAGAGCGAACAATTTATCACAGCGGTTCAAAGATCTCATTCAAAATTATAATCAGGTTTGTAAAAATTTTATCTATATAACCTGAAATGTTGTAAAGGGGCGTTACCTGCCCAATTCATTACCACCGAATTGACTCAAATTCTTTTATTTGATTTATAACCTACTGAAATATTTACCAGAATTGCAAAAGTTCATAAACACCAATAAACAATGCAAGAGTTCATAATAAAGTAATACTATTATCATTGCGTGCATATTTTAGGATAAGGTGTTATATGATTTCATGCCATAGATTAAGGAAATATCATCGTTTTACCTATAATAGAAAGATTTATTGTGGGCCGAATCAGTCAACGAAATGTTTCTTCCTGATGGCTCCCACTTCCCACTTTTCAATTTTTACTTTTCATTTTCATTACTGACATGAACACGCACAACCCTAATCTAACAAGGGTCAAATAAAAGGTTACATGCATACTAAACCAAATCAGATCTTATTATTGTCTTGCAATTAAATATTATACCAGCAAAGTTTTTAAGCCTATTTTTACAAAGTTGAACCAAACTTGCCGCTCATAGCGAATTATTTTTTAAATTTTCGCTTTTATTATTGTTTGGAACAAAACATAGTAATTCTTTAATTTTTTGTCTAATTCGTTGTTAATGCCCCCTTCAAACAGGCTCTATGTGCATCGATCCTTAATTACAAGAATTGAAAACGAAAAATGTGTTAAGTAGTATTTCATCGTGTTCATTAGTCGCCGTCATGGCAACCGAACAATATAAATGAATAAAAGCGTTTTATGGCGTCACGAACGTAAAATCCTTTACAGGCGTAATAAATTCGGCCTTTCACCGACAAAATTAAGAGTAAGCCTAGGATCCTGGTTCACTGCTTTACTGACGCGAAGAGTAGGGTTGGCCAGGATACCAGGTTTAATTAAAATATAGTGATTCAGAAATTGATATAGTACTTCGCAAATCAATTAATCTATAGTTTCACTATACACGAATATTTTGCCAAAGAACGTATATTGTTTGTTTTTTTTCTACTACAGAGAGCATAAAACGCGATATCAAAGATAGATAATACGATCTGTCACCAATTTTCTTCTCCGTCCGAAATAAGAGTAATATCAGCCTGTCGTCAGTGTCGCGTAGTTCCTTTCATCCAGGCAAAGCTCAATAGTTTGAGAAAATTTTCCGTTCTGATCAGAACCGTTTTACTCGTATATTACAAAGGAAAATTGCCACCTGTTTTCACAACTTCAAATATCCACTCTAAATCTAGTACTCCTGAAGACGACAATGTTGTAAGTGACTAGTTGTATGAATCCGATGTCCAATTAATCAACAAACAAGCTCTGTTTAACTATAATTAAAAGGCACTACCATACCTTTTTAAATGTCTACACATCAGAGCAGTCTGGCACAAAACATCGGAGATTGATATGTAACATTCCTTACGTAATAAAGATCAGTCAACAGAAATCGACAATTAAACAACCAACCAAAAGCTCGGAAAGTTGCGTGATCATTTTTTACAATTTTGATGTTAACATTTTCTCGTTTCTTTTAAGTTGAAAATTCATGCAAAACGAAAAAAATAACACTTTAAAAAGTTGATGCGTCCAAAGCGCTTCTCGGGAAAATACTTTTGTCACGAACGCTCAAAATCAAACTGGTGGACCCTTTGTTAGTTAGAATGAAAAGTGAGTATTCAGACGCAATTTTAAAACATTTCAATCCCTTTTTAAAAAACATTTTAGGAAAAACACTTTTTTTTTTAAACAAATTTAAAAATACTCAAGGTTCGTCGCAGGGTTTAAAGAACATTTTTGTGTATATATTGATTATCTATCACTGAGAGTGAGTCTGCAAAAAATAGTAAATTTGTTTTCGATAGTTTTTTTAAAACCAAACCACAACAGAGGGAACAACGTCAGAAAAGTCTAGAGTCATTAGTCGTACTTGAGACTTTGCAAGCCGCATTGGTTTATAAAGTCTTATATGCCTTTTATGCCGGAAATATAATATGATAACTGACAAATGTAATACATTTTGGGTTTCATAGACAAACTGGTGTAACATGTTCGTTATCAACTTCGGGTTTTAATTTTAAAATACATATCTGTTCTTTCTCACCATCAGATTCTTTATGGAACCTCAACACCACGAGCTCGATGGAGAAGTTGTACATCATATGTGAATACTAATTTTGGCCTGGCAACTGGTAGACTGTTTGTCAAGGAATCATTTCATGAATCAGCTAAAAATGATGTAAGCTTCTTTAGAGCGAACAGTTATACATGTATTTATTTTTTTTTTATTTCAACGGAGTCAACTTTGACTTTTCGGTTATATTGTTGTTGTAAATTTAATGTACCAATGGTGTTATGTTGTAAAATAAAACTGCTGACACTGTGCTAACATGAAATAACATCGATGCTGTCATTATCTGTAGATTAACTGGTCATAAAATGTTGAAATTATTGGATACACCAATAATTGTCTACCCGAAGGCATTAGTGGCCTCAGGCAAATTTTGGACTTGTTTTTCGAATTTTTGTTTTTCAAAACGTTTCAATGCGCATGCATATGGAGTATATATACATATCTCACAGTTGATACGATATTCCAGGGATTTCGTTTCTTATCCCGATTTTCTTGATAAAGTATTTTGTTTACAAGGACGCTATTGCATTAGGGGTTCCAAAAGGTAAAGTTCAAGTCATCCCTTCGAAAGTGTAACAGACGCCATCAGGTTTTGTGTTGATATTATGAAATAACTGTATCACAGATGACCACGAATAAATTCTAGTAACCACCAACTGTTTCTTTTTATACGACCGCAAAAAAAATTTTGTGGTCTTATATTGATATGACGTTGGCGTCGTCGTCGTCGGCATCGTCGTCGTCGTCGTCGTCGTCCGAAGACACATTGGTTTTCGCACTCTAACTTTAGTTTAAGTGAATGGATTTCTATGAAATTTTACCACAAGGTCCAATACCACAAAAGGAAGGTTGGGATTGATTTTGGGGGTTATGGTACCAACAGTTAAGGAATAGTTTCATGACAATAACTTGTGTTTAAGTGTATGGATCTTTCTGAAATTGTACTACAAGGTTCCATATCACAAAGGGAAAGCTAGAATTGAGTTTGGGGGTAATTGCCCAAAACGTTTAGGAATAAGGAGAAGGGGCCAAAAATAAGCATTTTTGTAACTTCCAGACATAACTTGTGTGTAAGTGTATGGATCTCTCTGACATTGTACCACAAGGTTCCATATCACAAAGGGAATGCTGGGATTGATTTTGGGGGTAATTGCCTCAAAATGTTAGGAATTAGGGGCAAAAAAAGGGGCAAAAAACAAGCATTTTTCTAGTTTCATGACAATAACTTGTGTTGAAGTGTATGGATCTTTCTGAAATTGTACTACAAGGTTCCTTATCACAAAGGGAAAGCTAGAATTGAGTTTGGGGGTAATTGCCCAAAACGTTTAGGAATAAGGATTCCAAAAGGGGGCCAAAAATAAGCATTTTTCTAGTTTCCAGACAATTACTTGTGTTCAAGTGTATGGATCTCTCTGAAATTGTACTGCAAGGTACCATACCACAAAGGAAAGGCTGGGATTGTTTTTGGGGGTAATTGCCTCAAAAGTTTAGGAATTAGGGGCCAAAAAACAAGCATTTTTCTAGTTTCAGGACAATAACTTGTGTGAAAGTGTATGAATCTTTATGAAATTGTACAACAAGGTTCCATATCACAAAGGAAAAGCTGGGTTCGAGTTTGGGGGTAATTGCCCTAAACGTTTAGGAATTTGGGGCCAAAAAGGGGCAAAAAAAACAAGCATTTTTCTAGTTTCCAGACAATAACTGTGTTCAAGTGTACGGATCTCTCTGAAATTGTACGGCAAGGCATCATACATTGTAACACAAAGAGAAGGCTGGGATTGAGTTTGGGGGTGATGAATCATAAGGGGGTTCACAAAATTTGAGGGGGGATTGTTTTTTCCCTTTTTTTTCTTTAAAATTTCTATTTTAAATTGGTTATTTCTGATTTTTATATAAAAGCAAATAATAATGATATGGTTTGAATAGGTAAATTAAAACATTTTAAGTTCTTAGACCACATTCATTCTGTGTCAGAAACCTATGCTGTGTCAAATATTTAATCACAATCCAAATTCAGTGCTGTATCAAGCTTGAATGTTGTGTCCATACTTGCCCCAACTGTTCAGGGTTCGACCTCTGCAGTCGTATCAAGCTGCGCCCAGCGGAGCATTTTATTCTCGATTGTGACAATATCAAATAAGACTTAACATTTGCGACTAGTTAAAAGTATGCCACTAGTGGCGCATCTGATTCATCCCTAGTTTTATTTCAAAGGTAGTCATGTTGCTTTTGTTTTAGTTTTCAGTGTTGTACTTTGTGCTTTTTTTATAGCTCAAATGAGAAATGATGTTTTTTTTTTCTGGTAACAGTTGTGTCTATCTTTTGTCCTGATAAATGTTATTCAATTTCAAAATTTTAAATTTGACCAGGTTTGAGAATTTACATGTTTATGAATTTAGGGATGTCTTATGAATAGATAGAGTCATTTAACAATCCGCTATTGCGTGATGCCCAAATACTTGACAAGACGTATCAACATACTTAGTAAGGTATAACAAGACGGGTGCCACTTGTGGAGCAGGGTATGTTAACCTTCCAAAAACACCTTATTTTACCCAATGTTTTTGGTAGATTTTTTTGTAGAGATTTGTTATTTATCTTTTCGTCGTTAGTAATTTTGCCTATGGTGATGTATGTTTTTATTTGAAATGATTTGTTTCTTGGTTTCTCCTCTCTCTATTTTGTCAAACTTTACAGCTTTTGATTCGATTTTATTCGAGCGCACTAATGGTTTGTCTCTATAAAAATGGAAAGCGCGTGCCAGGCGTATTACAGTACAAATTGTTACCACTGATGAATTTTCTCATATCTCAAAATTGGCATATGTTATAAGGGACACACCAATGAAATATTACTCTTATTCTATGCAAGTGTTCAGATCATAAACACTTAAGTTGCTGCATGATTTAGATTAGACTTACAAATTTTATGTACAGGAAAAAACACGACGGTCACATATGCTCAAAATCTAATTTTATAAATTACAGACATTACAATTGATTGGTAATCTGCTCGAGTCTTTTCATGAATTATTAGACCATGCTGATTGGATGGATGATGCTACACGTGTTGTTGCTCGGGAAAAGGTAAACAAACGTTCATCAGAAAGAACAAATATGATTACGATTACACTATCTCTAATAAAATAAGGCAATTTGAAAATTCGAAGTAAAACGATATTGATATTATTTTACTCTTACTAACCATTTTCAAATATGATATTATATCTATTTTCTTCTGTTTTTGATTTTCTTAAATTAATGATTTTTTTTTCAAAAGAAGGTATATCCATTAGTTTGGGAATAGATATACATGAGCATTTTTATTTTGAAATATGTTTCCATGATTTGTCAAAATGAATGAATAATTTTGTTTGTCTATAGCATCATATACAACGCTGCTTTTATATACTTTCCTTGAGTTTTAAGCATGATACAGTTACACACACACACACATCTATATATTAATAAACTGGGTGGTTGTCTATATCTTTTTGGCTTTGCATTGCTTTTTGTTCGATATTTTTTGAACTTTGATAAATTTTACAAAGTTGAAAGTAGTTTCTGTTTCCAGTTGGCACTCAACACATTTTATTGCCATGTAATATCAGCATAAAACTTTCAACTTTCATGGCTGCCCTAATTACATTAACATTACATTATTTTATATTAAGAAACGCGTTTTCTTGTTAACTTCCAATACTTACGCTAAATTTCATTCCATACACGCAATAGTTTTTGCTGATTTCCATTTAACACTATAAATATTTTATTTTTTGAATTCTTCAATTTGTTTCAAATGTATCCTAAATCATTGCAAATATCTCGAATCCAAGAAAGAGGATCTATATAATTAGTCTGTTAATACAATCAAAGTAAATGTGTAACAATATTTTCTAAACTGAAGGACTTTAAATAGATAAAAAATGACTTTTTACGATAGTTAGTTTTAGTTCGAGTTTATTGGTGATGATAATATGTTTTGTAAATTTATACCTAAAAAGTAACACATTAACAGAGTGAGTTTGTCAGAGGAAAAATTACAGTATAGGTTTTGTTTTACCAAAAGACCCAAGGACAATGCAAGACCGCATATGAGCAAGCACCATAAAATGCCACCACAACAAAGAAAGGCAATTATGTAAATAAGTAAATGGAAATAGTATTAGTGACTGTGAGGTGTCATCATTACATAAATCAACAATCGAAGTCAATATTTACAAAATTCTATGATGGCTGCATGAGGGAAATCATGCTCTGCAATAACAACCACTTTCCGCTGTAGTTATTCTCATTATATGTTCTATTTATACGGTACCATTATCATATAAATTCTCTATTGATAGTTTAAGAAGTTATTTAAACACTAAGGTTAAAACTCTCTTTAGCAAAATTGAACTGAGAGTCAGTTGGCTCATATTTTTATGTCCATTTCGGTCAAATAGTTTTTCACGTATCCAAATATTTATACATCCTTAGCTTTTAATTGTTTAGGTTTTGTGCGTTCCTGGTGAATGTTAAGCCAGAAAAGCTCTTTGAACGCACCAAATCTATAACGTATTGTGTTATTTTTATTATATTTATATATCAAAAGTATCTATTGTTTTACACAGGCAGATTTTATTCAAAAGAAGATAGGATACCAAGATGACATTATGGATGATGAGATATTGAATGAAATTTATCAGAATGTATGTAATTTAAGTCATAGGACAACCAGGACATACATGACATTTATCTGACGAGCATATTCAAAGATCTTGAACTGTATCCATCATCAGTGTTTATGACCGCTAATCACTAGTTAAGACGTCAAAAATAAGATATAAGAATCAGTTATATTAAAGTTTTGAAAACTTATCAAAGATAAAAGGCTTATAATTTGGTACACAAGACGTGCGTTTCGTCTACACAAGACTTATCAATGGTGCTCGACTCAAAACAGCTGGAAGGCGAAATCAAATCCGAAATTAAAAGAGCTTTAAAAACCGAAAATTCCGAAAAGTTGTGCCAGATACGGCTAGGCAATCTATACCTGAGAAGATAGAAAACCCTCAGTATTTTAAGTAATCCTATTTTTATAACAGTAAATTCACAGAAACTGAACATGTCAATGATAATGTCATGTCACCACAAAAGTGCTGACTACTGGGAAACGTTTATCAACAGTAGCATCGACCATAAACGAAGATAAAGACGTAGTAATTTGTACACACTTGACTATCAGTTCATAGTATCTTCCTAGTATATATCATTTATTTGAAAAAAAAAGGACTTGCAATTTATAAATGTTCAAATACTTATTTCTGCTCTCCTCACTAGCGATGTAATCACAACTAAAATATGTTACTAAAGGACTGTAATAATTTCTTTGAGTTTGACAATTTGTTTAAAACTGGTTTGGTTTAAGCTCAGTTCTGTTTTGCAAATTATTATATTCAGGTTACCATACATGCTGACACATACTTGGCAAATGTACTGAATGTAATCAGTTCTATATCTGCTGACAGTTTCCTATTCCTAAGGGAGCCTGTCAATAAGAATGTGTAAGTATGATAAAATCTTTATAGTTACAAGTATGCTTTTAAAAAAAGGGCTTATGTCTAAGGATGCCAATACTTACATGAACAAGAAAGATAAGGTAACAATAGTTTACCGATGTTCAAAATGTGTAAACCAATAGAGAATCAAGACGCAGTAAAAAAGAATTTGGTTATGGAATAAATCACAATCGGTAAATCAGATCCGACGACTATCCTATCTTAAGATCAAAGAATGCACATATATTTCTCCTGTGAGTTGAGACATATCTCCTAGTTTGAGGTCTTCCCTCTGTGTCAATTTCAAGAACGAGATCCAGATAGAAAGCAGACAGTTTACTTTAAGTAGCTTTTCAATCTTAAGTTCATAGTAATACATGTATATTAGATGCAAACTCTGCCTGAAGAAGATTGACAGGACATCGAACATCAAAACATTCGAACTAAACGTGACAGAATTTGGCATTATGTCTTTTCTGATTGTTTAATGAGGTTTTGTATGAATTTGGCTTTATGCGAATTCGAACCATCTCTGCCAGTAGTGGTTACAATACTACTGTCCCTATTACGATGTTCATTCTATTCAGTTTTATTTTCTAATGCAAATTACTGATAAAAATTAATGTGTTTTTCTATATACTTAGAGTAAGTGTAACCACCAATATAAATAATACAAATATTCCAATATAGGCAACATTAGTATAGCGATCTTCAAATCACATTGAGCACACGTTGCAGAAAGGATTTGTAGTATACCGTGAATAACATTTTATGAAGTAACAAAGAATAGTGATTTCTTGTATGTGCACTCAACAACTTGAAAACACTTATTGACTCCATGTAAGCATTTTGCAACAAGGCATGCAATGGTGATACAAAACAACTGTTATTGATTACATTCATTTTTGTCCGTAGAGGATGCCGAGTTATAACCAAACTCGCAGCTCTTTCCAGTTCGAATCATTGTTTAAGCAACATATTTGCTTTTGTTGGGCTTGTGTTTGGACCCATGGAACCGTTACCGATGTGTAAAACTGCATAAATTATAAAATCGAAGAAATCATAATCATGTTAATTGTTACATAATGACATTAATAAGTTAGGTACTTTGTAGGTGGAGTACGGCTCCTGCGACAGTGAATGCGTATTACAACTCGGTTTATAATCGAATTAGTAAGTTGTGTAGTGTGTCACGCTTTATGTTTTATCTTATGAATATTTTAAACATTTAACACTCGCTAAGCAAGTATCTTACACAGTACACAGACAATTCAAATGTCTTATCACATCAACAAGGGTTGTGACAGAAAAAAAGTATCATCAAAGATACAGGAACAGTTTTTTTTTTTTCATTTTTGTCTAGACAGTTCAGCATATTTCGTGATAGAATGATTTTAGGAATGCATTCACACGTTCTGCAGTTTATTTCAATAGTTTTGACATGATTTGGGTTAAACATACCCAGTAATACAGCAATGAAATTCATTTACAAATGAAAATCATGTGGATTTGAAGAAAAAATTAAAAGAGAAGATATTAAAAAATGCCAAATATTTGCAAATATGTTTTTTATACCTTAATCTTTACACCATTAATCCTTAAAAATGTACATATACATGTATATTTACAGTGTTTCCAGCAGGAATACTTCAGCCACCATTCTACAGCAAAGGCCGACCAAAGTAAGTGTGATTCGAACACTTATTCGTAAGATAGTTGAAGTCAGAATACAAATCCAGCACACATATTGTGAACAATTACAAATTCCATTCATCGCAACCGTGCGTAACTTAGTTCATTAAGACATCGTCCAGCCTTTAAACGAATATGATTTAGTACTTAAGATGTAAATCGTTATTAATGTATTGAAGCAATATTTTTATATGGATTGTTTTTGTTAAATATATTCACAAGTTGTATACACTTGGGATAATTTAAATCTTGACATATTGATGAGTCATCTGTCTATGATTGAAAACTATGGTACTATCTTGATGTCTGTTGTGTAGTACGAAAAATTTCGTAATTTATCACTCCTCAATGCTATCGGAAATATAACATAGACGCTACCAATTTAACTGCACCAGGTGCGCATGTTGTAGTTTAGGTAAAAAGTACGTAAATAGGCGATAATATAGTTGATTTTTTATATACTCAAAGATAAGGTATAGTCAAATGTGCTGAAAGTGGCGTTAAACACAATCATTCAAATCATGCAATCAATTGTAATGAATGTCATTTTTTTTAGATAAAGTAAATTGCCGCCACAGTATAGCCAAAAATGCTGAAAGTGGCGTTATATCCGATCAATCAATTGTAATGGATGAATCGGATTACTCCCTTTTTTAGTTTCTATTAAGAAGAATTGTCTTAAGTAAATGTTTATTTGAGGTTTAATTTGGTCTAGACATGCTAAAATATGAAGTAGCTTTAATAATTTTACTATAAAAGTATTCAAATTTAAAATCATTTTATATATTTGATGAATATTGATTTATTCAATATTTCTTCAATACCATATCATTAATTGTATCTTTGGAAGTAATGATCCGATCGTGCGAGGGCGTAATAGACAGTCAAGGTAGTTAAACACCCCGTAATAGTAGTAGTAAATCAGAAGTTGCTCTGGTAGAGAGAAGCCCTATCTCCACTTGTATATCCGAGACGTCAGTGTTCCACAGCCACCCTTCTCTAATCCACTGATTCAATAGCAACGCGAAGTTTAGAAATACAATTACGTTTACTCTCTGAATTTGAATTTTGAATATTACCCTTCTTTTTTTATTTCATTTTTCTTGAAATACTTAGCTTTTTGATTTCATTTGCGAACTATTACTATTTAATTGCATTTCATTTTTGAGCTAAACTTTTGAAATACTAGTCCTATTTTATTTCATTTGACTATGTTTTACATTTGCAAGTAAATTGTTGAGTTCTATTTGATTTATGTTTCTGTTTATCCAAACTCTGATATCGGGTATCCAGATGTTCGAATAGGGGCGAAGTACTAGCCAGTACACGTCCCGGGAGGTGTCGAAACTGACTTTTTCTACAAGTCAGGAATATGACAGTTGTTTTCCATTTGTTTGATGTGTTTGAGCTTTTGATTTTGCCATTTGATAAAGGACTTTCTGTTTTGAATTTTCCTTGGAGTTCAGTATTTTTCTTATTTTACTTTTTACACAATCGAGCAAATTGAATATTATTTAGAAAGTACATGATATATATGACAAAGCATTTATCATCTTAATTTCAATTCGGATAAGAACTTATTTCTTTTATCATAGATCCTTGAACTATGGAGGAATTGGAGTCGTCATTGGTCATGAAATAACACATGGTTTTGATGATAGAGGTTTGATATATAGATTTTATATAGATAGTAGTGATCTTTTTCTCTTTTTTTCTGATCCTGTTGGACAGAGTATTTGTTAGCTTCATGCATGGCCATTAGCCTCAGTTGTTCGAAGTCATTTATAAACCATTTCAAATGTGTGCACTCTTATACACCATTATTGTGTTGATTGGTACACAGTTTGGTAACAGTCGTGCTTGAAAGTGTAATTTTAAAATCATTTGTTTACCAAATCAATAGAAAAGTGTTGTTTCAAACAAAATTAATAGAAAATAAAGGAAATATTATCAAAACAATCTATAGATCTCTAGGACAATCACCTAATGAATCAGTGATGTCGTGGACCCGTTCCTAATTTGCGTCAGAAGACCCATGTCCACAACCATTGATGAATGCAAATAATTTAATGATGTGAATTAATTTTCTTCAAGTAATATTCTGTAGGAAATCATAGTTTAAGCATGTCGAACTTTAAGTATGAGTTTTCCTACAAAGTTTGTACAAATTTACTTTCTAACAGGAAGGCAATATGACAAAGATGGCAATCTAGTCCAGTGGTGGTCGGATGAAGTGATCAAGAGGTTTGATACACAAACACAGTGCTTAGTAAACCAATACAGTAGTTTTACTCTTCCAGAGTTGGTTGATGAAGGTTTAAACGTGTGTACTCTGTTCTATAAAGATCAGTAATAATGTAAAGCAAATATATATTAATTAGCCGACAACGCAAACGTTTTTAGTGTTTATAAAAAGACACTGACATTTAAATGTAAGACCATGGTAGTTTAAGCTTTTTCCTTTGTTTTGAATTAAAAAATGTTTCATGTTTTTTGCGATAGTAACATTTTGAAATTGATGAAGATTATTCCAGACAAACAGTCGGTAGACATTTTTACAAAACTAACAGAACGGTCAAGTAACTATATGATAGCGTACTAAAATAAACAGAACATTTTTTCACTTTACAGGTGAATGGCATAAACACTTTGGGAGAGAACATAGCAGATAATGGTGGCTTGAAGCAAAGTTTCAGGGTAATCACACTATGATATTTCGAATAATTATCAATTTTTATACAAATGTTAGAATGTTCTTTGATGATAAGAGTTCTTTTTTTATTTTGCGAAAGAATTAAAATTATTTTATCGGGAAAAGTATTCCTTTCCATAATTTTGATTGATTGATAGGTGTTTATCGCCACTATTGTGCTATTTCCTGGCGGTTAGTTTTTTATTGGTGAAGGAAGTCGGAGTGACCGGAGTGAACCACCGACCTTCGGTAGGAAAACTGACAATCTTAGTCAGTTAACCTTTGCATAAATAGTCAGTATATGTGTGTAGTTAATAGTATGCGTTCGATCCGTAAATCTAGTAAATAGCCGGAGCTTAATGTAATAGAAGTTTGCATCCTCATAGCGCGGCTTGAAAAAAAATAGCAGGAAAATCGGAATCAAAAATTCATTCTCATGTCGTCTGCACATTACCAAGAAATGTCGTTTATATGAAGCGTCTTTTTTTAAATTTGAGACTTTTTCTTCGGTTTATATTATAGAAAAATTAATGGATATTTTCAGAATAATTTTTGAAAATTTAAAAATTGAGAATCTTGCATTATGTCTTCAACCTTGGCTACTTGTTTTACACAGTCAATGCTTAACACAACATCATATTATAAATATGATGTTTTCAATTTTCAGTTTCATCTTGGACCAAATACTTTGACTTATAATGTCGATTGGATAAACTGAAAAAAATATCAAACAAATTCAAATAAAACGTAACGTCTTCATCAAACATAATGGTACTTCTAAAGTGTCAACCTAACTAGTGAAATCTGATACATTAGCAAACATAACATATTTTAAACAAGGAAAATTTTTTTATAATCACATTTGACCTTTCAAACTTTTAAATTATGCGTAGGTCTGGGAACAATAATAATTATGGCTTTACCCGCTGCATTTGTTTGCACCTGTCCTAAGTCAGGAACCTGATGTTCAGTGGTTGTCGTTTGTTGATGTGGTTCATAAGTTATTCTCGTTTCTCGTTTTTTATATAGATTAGACAGTTGGTTTTCCTGTTTGAATGGTTTTACACTAGTCATTTTTGGGGTCCTTTATAGCTTGCTGTTGGGTTTGAGCCAAGGCTCCGTGTTGAAGGCCGTACTTTGACCAATAATGTTTTACTTTTACACATTGTGACTTGGATGGAGAGTTGTCTCATTGGCACTCATAACACATCTTCTTATATCTATTATCTATTCAGTGAGGATCACTGCTAGCAACGCATTTTCTTGGTGTGACCGTGATTGTCCCATTGATTTTGTATTGTTGCTATATTTTACTATGACATTGTAAACAATTTATGACAGTATTTGTTAAATTTCTTTATCCGTTATCTCTCTCATCTATTGACATTTCACCGTGTGTGTGTCAGTATTCTATACGCAAGTTAAGTTTTATAAACATCTACCAAATAATTCAGAAAGAAAAGATCTGAATTGTGTTTTTCAACATATATTGTCATCTGACACTTGGCCGAAAAAAGACATGACTACATCAATAATTGCTTCAATAAATGTCTGTAGTCTGTTTGTATAAATATAGGCATATAAAAGATGGGTAGAAGAAAATGGTGAAGAAAAACAGCTTCCCGGATTGAAATATAACCATGACCAGCTTTTCTTTATTGGTTTTGCTCAGGTAATGGCGGATGATTATATACATTAAAACTATGTTTCTTTCCACATTTCTGTAAAAAATTGAAAACTACACGTTTAATAATTTCATGCGTCCGAAGCGTTTTTCTGGATTTACCTTCATCAGGAACGCTCAATGCCAAACATTTGAAATCCGAGGGATGTATAAGTACCGAAATAGTTGAAGAGCTATATGACAAAAATACCTAAAACAAATAGCCAAATTCATCTAAGGTCAACTTTGCCTGAGGGAGAGTTGAAACCTTAGTTTCTTTATAATTTCAAAATTTATATATAAACGGACAATTTTAGAAAAGTTTGTTATAAATCATGTCAGTACCAAAGTACTGACTACTGAGCTGATGATACCCTCAGGGACTGATAGTCCACCAGCAGAGGTATCGACCCAGTGGTGTAAAGAATTGAAAACAACACGTTTAATAATTTCATGCGTCCGAAGCGCTTTTCTGGATTTACCTTCATCAGGAACGCTCAATGCCAAACATTTGAAATCCGAGGGATGTATAAGTACCGAAACAGTTGAAGAGCTATATGACAAAAATGCCTAAAACAAATAGCCAAATTCATCTAAGGTCAACTTTGCCTGAGGGAGAGTTGAAACCTTAGTTTCTTTATAATTTCAAAATTTATAAACGGACAATTTTAGAAAAGTTTGTTATAAATCATGTCAGTACCGAAGTACTGACTACTGAGCTGATGATACCCTCAGGGACTGATAGTCTACCAGCAGAGGTATCGACCCAGTGGTGTAAAGAATTGAAAACAACACGTTTAATAATTTCATGCGTCCGAAGCGCTTTTCTGGATTTACCTTCATCAGGAACGCTCAATGCCAAACATTTGAAATCCGAGGGATGTATAAGTACCGAAACAGTTGAAGAGCTATATGACAAAAATACCTAAAACAAATAGCCAAATTCATCTAAGGTCAACTTTGCCTGAGGGAGAGTTGAAACCTTAGTTTCTTTATAATTTCAAAATTTATAAACGGACAATTTTAGAAAAGTTTGTTATAAATCATGTCAGTACCGAAGTACTGACTACTGAGCTGATGATACCCTCGGGGACTGATAGTCCACCAGCAGAGGTATCGACCCAGTGGTGTAAAAAATTGAAAACAACACGTTTAATAATTTCATGCGTCCGAAGCGCTTTTCTGGATTTACCTTCATCAGGAACGCTCAATGCCAAACATTTGAAATCCGAGGGATGTATAAGTACCGAAACAGTTGAAGAGCTATATGACAAAAATACCTAAAACAAATAGCCAAATTCATCTAAGGTCAACTTTGCCTGGTGGAGTTGAAACCTTAGTTTCTTTATAATTTCAAAATTTATAAACGGACAATTTTAGAAATGTTTGTTATAAATCATGTCAGTACCGAAGTACTGACTACTGAGCTGATGATACCCTCGGGGACTGATAGTCCACCAGCAGAGGTATCGACCCAGTGGTGTAAAAAATTGAAAACAACACGTTTAATTATTTCATGCGTCCGAAGCACTCTTCTGGATTTACCTTCATCAGTAACGCTCAATGCCAAATATGTATAAAACATCTTGTTGGTCTCGTGGTAGCATACTTACCTTAAGTACTGGGAAGAGGTCGTAGCTTCGATCCCTGGTTGGGTCAAACCAATGACTTCAAAATTCCTTTTTGCTTCTTCCAAAATAAGCAAGTAAGGGCAAAGACTGGTCGGCTAATATTCAGAACAATTGATAGGAGGTCTGTTTTCCTGGTTTCATTTATTTTATGAACTAACACACAAAAAGCTATCTAAGCAAATTTTTCAATTATCCATCCATGTAATTTAGGTCATCAGTGTACTTTATCTTGATTACTTATTTTAGTTATAAAATGTCAGAGCAAATAAGTTGACGGCATCGAACCTTTTTTTTTATTTTTTTCGACTTAAAGTACATAATATGTTACCGCAATCATTTACTGTTGTTAAGTAATTCCATAAAAATAAGAAACTACACAAAGACAGATGATAAAATTTCAAATTCTGTGGTCCGTCTAAGAAACTAATTTATTATTAGAAATGTTCCTATTGCTATTTGTTTTATAATTAGGGTCCAAAGCGGTCCTTGTACATTTGTGTGTAGTACCTGTCCCCTATAAGCTTTTAGTCTAATCAAAACTGCACGGGTAAGAATAGATATAAATATATGAAAATCACACACGTTTATAAAGATGAAGAATATTTTCAAAACACTATTATGAAACATCTCCAGTGCACTCGTATCTTCATTGCCTATTTTATTATTGTAAGGTTTGGTGTGGTAGTATGAGACGGGAGAGTGCAATCAATAGAATATTAACTGGTGTACACAGTCCAGGGCGGTTTAGGTAAGAATAAATATGAAATTATGATATGTCGATGTGTCGTTACTTTCATAATGATCAACCGTTCATTTCAAGATTCTTACCGAATTCTTTCATCAGTTGAACTTCTAAAACAAAATTTCTTAAATCAAATGTTTGTGAAAATTTCATGGCGCAGTAGCCGAACAATACATAACATTCCAGTAAATGAAATTAATACTGTATAAATTTCGTGCTTTCGACGCGCTTTTCTATATAAGCGCCATCAGGAAGGCTAAATTTGAAGCATTAGAAATCCAGAGATTTATTACTACATTGAAACGTCAGGAACTTTATGACCAGAAGGTGTCTAAAAGGAATAGCCAAATTTATCCAAAGTCAACGTTGTCTGTTAATGGCGAACAGGAAAGAGATGATTCTGAAATATCATCTTCATGCTGCTGACCAAATATAAAGTACCTGGGAAAATTGAGACAAAAATATTTGTTGGACAAACAGTCGGACGGACAAGGTAAAGGCAATATAGCCCCTATCATAGGTGAATAAAACATATTTTCTTCGTGTGTATGAAGATCGTATAACCAGTAATGACTTGAGGTAAAAAACATAATTAAAATTTTCTGGACACAGTCTTCACAAAAGTTTACAGTGTTATTTTAATTTTCTAGCAGTGTCGTTTGTTAATGTGTTACATATTTGTTTTCGTTCATTATTTTGTATATAAATTATGCAGTTAGTTTTCTCGTTTGAATTGTTTTACATTTGTCATTTCGGGTCCGTTTATAGCTGACTATACGGTATGGGCTTTGCTCATTGTTGAAGGCCTTACGGTGACCTATAGTTGATAATTTCTGTGTCATTTGGTCTCTTGTGGAGAGTTGTCTCATTGGCAATCATACCACATCTTCTTTTTTATATCTATGGATTGGATTTTGGCTATTCTGTTATATCCATTTTGGGCATTTACGTATTCAAGTACATATATTATACATTCTTGTCTTTTAGTGTTAGGGTTTGAGCTTTCCTGGTCATGATGAAGGTAAATCATTTTCTATTTCAAACCTGATCATTGCGAAATAGTTAAATAAGTTCTAATTGAAATGGAGAATCTGACCTTCAGCTGTTTGTTATTATAAAACACTGCTATTGGATGTTCCTGCCCGGGGTAGCACCAACACAGTAGTCAGAACTTCTGTGTTGACATGAATTATCATTGATATGGACATAATTATAAATTAACTATTTACAAAACTTAGAATTTTTTCGAAATACCCAGCATTATCTACCCTAAAAATACATTACCTTAGCTGTATGGCAAGACATTTCGAAATTTTGAGTCCTCAATTCTCTTCAACTTCGTACTTTATTTTGTCTTTTTAACTTTTTTATTCGAGCGTGACTGGTGTGTCTTTTGTAGACGAAACGCGCATCTAGCGTACAAAATGTTAATCCTGGTACATGTATCTGTGATGAGTTTATATATCATTGAAAAATATGGTTATTGACAGAGAAAATTAGGAGACGTTATAATAAAAAAGAATGTTGTGGTTAGGTATTGATATATTTGCATAATTATTATCTGGATAATAATCCTAATATATAAACTTTTGAAACATATTTTCAGAGTAATAGGAACCTTGCAGAATTCTAGAGACTTTTCACAAGCCTTCGGTTGCAAACAGGGAAGCTACATGAATCCTTACAAGAAATGTTATTTGTGGTAAATCGATTGTTGTTCAATGATTGTTAAATGTGATAACTTGATTATTAAAAATATACACATGGCAATTAGGAAATACGGAGTATTTCTAACAAATGTATCAGGAATTAGTATTGATTTATTGTAAAATTATTTGTTTGTGAAATCATTGAATTCCATTGAATGTCTTTTGTATTATTTTATTGTGATTTTTAGATATTTTTATGTATACAAATAAAGATGTATATATTGATTTTAAGTTTATCTGTATCAGCATAAGTACAGTTTTAATTGATTTTTAATTTGAAAAACACGAAAATAACTTGGAATTTAAACTACAACATCATCAAGGAACTTTAAATGAACTAAAGATTATTACACTTTTACTTAGTTTGTCGTTAAAAATTAGTATTTTCGGGCCATAAAAATTAAACAAAACAGTGTTTTGTCAATTAATTAAATATTGTGACTTTTTCTGTTTTCAGTTTTTGATCTTTTAGTCATTCATTTAGACAACTATTATCTAAAGGGGAATAAAAAAAATAACATCGAAATAAAATTAAATAGCGATCCAGACATCTGTTTTTAATGTTAATCTTAAAATTCAAGCTTTTTTCGGTCTAACCGAATCAAAATTAAGAAAACATACCACGAATTATCATTGATATAGTCATGAATATAAATTAACTGTTTTCAAAACTTAGAATTTTTCGAAATACTAAGGATTGTCCATCCAATGAATAAAATACTTTTTGCTGTATTTGGCAAGACCTTACGGAATTTTCGGTCCTCGATGCTATTCAACTTCACACTTTATTTTGACTTTTTAACTTTTTAAGCCTAGTATCTATGATGAGTTTATTTACCATTTTTTAACCAACTTTATCTAGTCAGTCGTAACGGTTTGTGACTAATTGATTGATTAATGCAAAATGAACAGTAAACCTTATTGTGTTCATATTCCAGACAATAACAAATACAACAATGCGATATGTTAACAGTTGCCAAAAAGATTCGAAAGAATTGATATTATGCCTTCAATAATATTTTCCACTACACCCCTGAACAATTATTGCAAGGGTTCTACGTTCAGAAAAAATCTCATCAGATTTGATGACATATCATTATGATCGATCGTAACTGTATATTTTTAACTCAAAGCTAAACGGAGTTCCTTTACCATGTTTACTCCAAATAACAAAACATATAAACAATAGAAATAAAACAATAAAATTGAGAATGGAAATGGGGAATATGTCAAAGAGACAACAGCCGAAGGCCACCAATGGGTCTTCAATGCAGCGAGAAAATCCCGCACCCGGAGGTGGTCCTCAGCTGGCCCCTAAATAAAGTTGTGTGCTAGTTCAGTGAAAATGGACGTCATGCTAAACTCCAAAACATATAAATGAGCTAAAATTAAAAAACATACTAGACTAACAAAGGCCAGAGGCTCCTGACTTGGGACAGGCGCAAAAATGCGGCGGGGTTAAACATGTTTTGTGAGATCACAACCCTCCCCCTATACCTCTAGCCAATGTAGAATAAAGAAACACATAGCAATACGCACAGTAAAACTCAGTTTAAAAGAAATCCGAGTCCGATGTCAAAATAGGTAACACCTATAACAATAAAAAAAAACATACTCTGACCCACACCCTTGCGATATCGTCTATAAAGAAAATGAAGTGTAAATTTTTATTATAGATTTATCAACATCCAATGATTCCACATCATTGAGTGATATTCATAGATACGAATATGTATACTACCTTCCTATGGGAAATCAATACAATAATTAGATAGAACTTGTACATGGAAAGAGATAAAGATAAATTTCAAACTATAGCTTTGTATCATTATTGTTGTAAATACCAATTCCGAGGGTCTGGGTGTTGTTAACGAAATAGAGAATAACGGACCAATACTACAGAAAATGAGTCAACAAAATAATGAATGGAGAAAAATAGGCAAAACAACATAAAGAATAGAGAATAATTGGGTGCTTTAATATAAAGAGTATAGAATAATGGGCAATATAAAAAATAGAGAAAAATGGCCTAAGAATTCAAGAATACAGAAATGAAGAACCAATCCATACCCTCATATCCCATTTTTAATGAATGAGACTAATCACCGAATTTTTACTTACTTGAGAAACACAACGGTTGTCATATGTGGAGCAGAATCTACTTACCCAAAGGTTTGTGCACGCATAGAAGAAGAAGCTTACCCTGTCTGTCAACGCACCCGGTCTCTTGCGGAGTTCATGAGATTCCCTCAGTTTTTGTTTTTTTCACTTAATTTGTATCTTCTTAATGATAGATTTACGAGATTTTGACACCAGTAAATTACGGTCGCCTTATTCCGGAGCACCTGATATCATAACCGGATTTTAGTGGGGTTCTTTTTGCTTTCAGTAATTAGTTTTCTATGTTGTGTTGTGTAGGTTGTTGTTTGTGTTTCGTCTTTTTCCTATTTTGTTTGTTTGTTTCGGTGTTTGTTTTTGTTATAACGTTGCCAGTTTGCCTTCGACTAATGAGTTTGAAAATCCCTTTGGTGTCCTCCGCCCCTCTAAATGTTTTCTAAAAACTACAACTTGTACAACAGACATGCATAACTGAGTATATTCCAAAAGACTTATTGGTAAATATACCAATTAAAATTAAAGCAAATTCCAGCAGCTTTACCCAGAAAATATGGCTTGATGTATGTAAAGGGGGTCTCAAATTTATGTTATCTACTTCAACTGGACCAAATCACTTCTCTGACAAATTCATGACCATTCTTTCGTCACAGTATAATTTCGTAGCACTACCTGCATAAAGCATAATTATGAGAAATAAATAGGGAAGGTGTATGGATAAAAATAAGACGAACTACACTTATAACTAAAATGAAATAAACTTGTCATAAATACCAGTATTATAAATTTGTACGCCAGACGCGCGTTTCGTCTACAAAAGACTCGTTGGTGACGCTCGAATAAAAAATGCCATATGAGTTTTTAAACTTTTCGAATGTTCTATTGAAATTTTTTTTTTTCATGATTATCCTTAAATTCTAATATAGCTTGAATTGTTGACTGGTTTATAATATCTAAGAAAATGTTACTTATGCAAGGATCATGTGATTGCTGGTGAAAATACAGTTAGTGTGCGAATTGTGAGTTCAGAAGTTGAAAAATGAAAAACGTACTGCCTCAGTACTATTGTGGCTGAGTTTCTACAGTTATCTGTAAAATCAGTAAAATTAATAATACTTTTTGAAACTAGTTAAATTTCAAATTTATGGATGTTGGCAGGACACTGTAACGTTACAGTGTTAGTTAGTAACTGATGACTATATCACATTCATTCTAAGGGTGTCTTGAGGTAGAAATCATTTAGCCTCTTCCATCTTCAGACGAATATTTTCTTTTTGAGATGAACTCGTTCGGTAGTAACGGGTATGCAATATACAGCTACTTTCAAACAGTTGATAACTTCCAATTCTGCCGCCGGGCAGTAGGACCGGAGCGCCTGTTTACATGGGCTCGTGGTTAATCTTGTTTGGAGAGTGACACGCTTTAATTCTGTATGCTAAGAGCATTCGTTTATATAAATATATGTATCTGTGAAAATACGATAAATAAAAAGGTTATATTCATGATATTTAGACAAAAGATAAAGAAGAAAAATGAAAATTCAGTTTTGTATACAAAACGAAATTGCTTTAATTTTTTAACGGCATGATTTAAGTACAAGATATTAAACGAAAAATATGATATATAGAAATAAACAGCAGCCACTGAATTGCAGGCACCTGTCTTGTGACAGGCACATACAGAATGTGGCGGGGTTAAACATGTTTGCTGGTGCCTAACACTCTCCTAACCTGGGGCAGTGGTTTAACTGCATGACATAAGAACAAACTATAAAAATCATTTGAAAAGGGCTATATATAAGCTTATCAGTTCAGATTAGATTGGTTCAGTTTAAGGTAAAACGCTTGTAGCGTGTTAGAATTACATTTTTGCATATAACTATGTTGTTATCATTTCAATTCATCACAAATGAAGGGAGATTATGTCAAAATATAACCAACGTTCCTAATAAAAATATTATAAGACAGTTTGGTCACTTTGATACTAGATTCGTCTTCATCACAAAATCGAGTTATACATATGAGTACTGACTATAATAAATTTACAAGTTATAGTTTTCACTTAGCACGATTATTTTATAGGGTTGCACATAATAGCCCTTTTTAAAATAAGATGAAAAGTGTGCAAACCAGTCTTACATATGACCAGTTTAAATTGTAATAAAAGGGGATGTGGGTGTATACGTGAAAGAGATAGCAACCCAAATACAAGCATAACAAAAAGCCATCTAGAGGATAGCATACAGTCTTCAACAATAAACACGTTTCTATATGATATGTCAATCTTTAAACCGTCCCCAGTCTATAAAAGTTGCCAATAATAAATGTAACAGAAACATTCAAAGATTTACTAGCAAAGCCAAATCTCTAAATATCAAAAACAGATGATTAAGATATAACAGACAACCACTGACGAGGTTCCTGACGCGGGACAGACACATGAAAATAAGGTGTAGATAAATAAGTTTTTTGTTAGATCACAAACCTTCATTTATTTAATATCGATCAGTAGATAGAGAATATCATATGGCTTTTTCAATATCACATCCGTATCAACCCGAGACACCAATATAATCCCAAGATCTCTGCTCGAGGGATTATATTGGTTGAGGGTTGATACGGTGTGTGATATTGAAAAAGCCATATCATATACACTTTATTATATACATATACCTCACGTAGATGTTTTTTATGTGACATGACGTCATACAGGTAATGAGGTTTGAAATGACGTCATACAGATTATAGGTTTGACATGACGTCATACAGATTATGAGTTTGATAAAGCCTTTGCAACAGTGACTGTAATCGATGACGTGACGTCATACAGATTAAAGGTGTGATAAAGCCTTTGCAACCGTGCTGATATCGATATCATCACGGTTGGCTGATACAGCACGCTTGCCAATGTTTGTATTACACATACAATTTATCTGTATTTACTACTAAGTATATAATAAATTAACATAACGTACATGTATAAAAAAACATAGCAATGAATACCAGTATATAAACTCTTAACTCTAAAATAATTAACGCATAAAGATAGATAACAAATTAAACTGTATAATAATGCTAGCAGTCATTGTAGGCAAGCGCATATTACAAAACCTGTGTATAAGAAATCTAGCCGTCCTACACTTAACCGTACTTCACAGATGATTTAAATAAAAGAGGAACGTCAAAAGCAGTACAGGAAGACATGATACTGTGCAATGCTCGAAACCGACTATACAGCTAAACAAAAGAAATACTTTAGTATTGCTTCAAACTATAAATTTACCATATCTTTCCGCAAAATGCAAGCGCTGTGATTGAACAATAAACGTAGTATAACTATAACTTTTATCAATAATTGAATAGAGACTGGAAACGGAGAATGTGTCAAAGAGACAACAACCCGATCAAAGAGCAGAAAACAGCCCAAGGGCAGCCAAGTGTCTTCAACGCAGCGAAAAAATCCCACAGCCGGAGGCGGGCTTCAGCTAGTCCCTTAGCAATACATAAATGTATACTTGTTCAGCGACATAAACGCCTCACTAAACCCTAAAGCATACAAATGAACCATTTTTTTTTATAAACACACAGGACCAACAAAGGCTACAGGTGAGATCTCAACACAAGTCCATTAAGCAAAGTAGACAGATTTGAGGGAAAAATCCTACATATGTTTGCTTTAAATCAATATTGCCGTACAAAAGCTGGATACGAAACACTACTTTTTTCATTAAATTCCCGCAAGTGGAGTCATACTTTCAGAATAAAAATCTATATTCGTGAACATTTTAGTGACATTGATTACCAATTTATGATATATAAAATTGAGAATGGAAATGGGGAATATGTCAACGAGACAACAACCCGACCAAAGAGCAGACAACAGCCGAAGGCCACCAATGGGTCTTCATTGCAGCGAGAAAATCCCGCACCCGGAGGTGTCCTCAGCTGGCCCCTAAATAAAATAGTGTGCTAGTTCAGTGAAAATGGACGTCACACTTAACTCCAAAACATATAAATGAACTAAAATTAAAAAACATACAAGACTAACAAAGGCCAGAGGCTCCTGACTTGGGACAGGCGCAAAAAATGCGGCGGGGTTAAACATGTTTTGTGAGATCTCAACCCTCCCCCTATACCTCTAGTCAATGTAGAAAAAAGAAACACATAGCAATACGCACAGTAAAACTCAGTTTAAAAGAAGTCCGAGTCCGATGTCAGAATATGTAACAAAAGAAACTAAGCAAAATGACAATGATACATAAATGAACAAAGGACTACTAGCAGTTACTTACATGCCAGCTCCAAACCTCTGACAATTAAACTGATTGAAAGATTATGTCTTCATCATATGAAAATCAAGTACAATCCCTCCCGTTAGGGGTTTAGTATCATACCATCATAAAATATATGAGAAGAACATAACCCGTATCATGCCAACAACTGGTTTTAGAATAAATGTGTTTATTTCCGATGCAAAGACCCTATGAGTGAATCAATATTAATACCAAAATATGCAATCCTTAATGACTTGACAACAGTATTGTAACTATATCCTTTCCGAATAAGTCTGTTTAAAGGTTTGGTTAGCTTTTGAGGTGAATGCCGACATTTTTGTGCTTTGTAAAGAATATTACCATAAAATATTGGATGTGAAATATCTGAACGTATAAGATGTCTGCATGCTGATTTATATTTACGAATGATGTCCTTGTACCGATGATAAAATTTAGTAAATGTTTTGACTAGTTTATGATATCGAAAACCCTGGTGTAATAATTTTTCAGTAATACAGAGATTTCTTTCGTTGAAATCAAATACGTAGTTACATACACGAGCGAATCGAACAAGTTGAGATATATAAACACCATAAGATGGCGACAAGGGAACGTCACCATCTAAAATGGATAATTAACAAAAGGAAATGAAAAATCATCTCTTTTATCATAAACTTTGGTATTACGTTTCCCGTTAAAGATAAAGATATCAAGATACAGGAAAGGGCAGTGTTCATTGTTAGTATTAGCTTTATTTAAAGTGAGTTCGGCAGGATAAATCTTTTTTAGTGTACATACTGAAGTCGTCATTATTGAGAGCCAATATATCATCTAAATAACTAAAAGTGTTATTAAATTTATGAATCAGATGTTGTTTCGATGGGTCTTTGCTGATTTTAGTCATAAATTGTAACTCATAACAATACAGGAACAGGTCCGCAATAAGTGGTGCACAGTTAGTCCCCATGGGAATTCCGATAACCTGACGATATACGGAATCTCCATAGCGAACAAAAAATGTTATCTAGTAAAAATTCAAGGGCATTTATAGTGTCAAAGCAGGTCCAATTGACATAGTTCTTTTGTTTGTTGCTACTAAAAAATGACCTAAAAAAGTTTGAACATATATATTCGCATTCTGACTTTTTAAATGCCCATTTAATCAGGTGTGTGAATTTTTTCTTGATAAGATTATATATATATATATGATCCCTGTTTCAAAACTTGTATAATTAATGAAAATTGAATCCAATACCTCCGCATGCGCATATCGAACCAACTGAGATTTCAGAAGTAGCGATTACAACATCACCATCAAGAAATGGAAAATTAATAACGGGAAAGAAAAAGATATCCAGATAATCTTAGATTTTTATCTGGATATTTCCAAGTTTAATCTCATATCAAGGTTTAAAAAGGCCATCGATCACTATTAATATTTATTTAGTAACATAGAGCTGAGAAGAATATATTTCATTTGGTATTTAGAAAAATCTGTATTGTTAACAAAATAATATATCGTATAAAAATATATGTTTGTATTCGATTAAAAATATCTAACAAATTGAGTTTTGTTATGTCTTTATGAAGCTCTGTCGACCTATAACATTTTAATGCATAGCAGTAGAGGAAAGATGTGCACAACTAGTTCCCGTAGATGCCAATCACTTCATCTCAAAAACGATCATAAATATCATCAAGCAAAATAGAATGGCGCTTATCATTTATTTGCCTGTCCAACTAGCGTGTTTAAGGTAAGATTTACTGAAAATAGAATTGTAACAACTTCAACAGCTAGTAACACCCCGTACACCATATTTTGCATATACACATGTATTCTCTTCCAGATTCCATTATATGAACATAAACAATGAACCTCAACCAACTTCCAGTCGTAAATACTCGGCCAGTATTGATATTTGCCCTCACTATTTGAAAGATAGAATCAACATCTTAGCAAAAAGCTGTAATCTCAAGCTCTATTTTCTTAATAAATCTTAAAATTAAATTATCAAAAATTACATTTGTGAATTACGTTGTTTATTTTGGAGCCTTTACTTATCTTTATTGAAAACTTTTTATTTTGTTTTATTAATGATTATTAAAACAATTGTTACTAGGTTATGTGCTTAAAATTAATAAAAGGTAATGGCAACTGTATTTTATAGATAATTTTAAGCAACATAATTGTAATGCTTGAAGATGATTAAATGACTGATGTGGCAGTTAACTTTAAAGGATGACGACGAGGGTGGTTTTAAACGACCTTGACTACCCATGAGGGTCTTGCACGGTTGGTCCTTCAAGGATTACATTTTTAAAAATTAAATACTGAGATTTCTAACATAAAACCCAATCGGTGTTAATCTCTAATTAAAAGTGCAAATTTTGTAAGAAAATGTGAATTCATTTGTTAGACTTTTCATCTATATAAAGAAAATTCTGCGTTTTATTACATATATACGACTGTTTTTTTTGTTTGTTTGTTTGTTGTTTTTTTATTTTATTTTTTGTTTTTTTTTTCTAATTAAATCATGTTTGACTATTTTGTTTTTTAACTGTAATGGTCAGGGGAGATAACCTAAATAATATAGCTTTAATAAAGAATTACGAATTTATCTATTTTGTTTTGTAGCAAAAGAACGAGTCCCGTGATCCCAATTTTATTTTTATTTTCTGAAAGCACATCATAATTAAGACCTAACTTCTCATATGTTATCTTAAAATTCTATCTTTTCCTTTTCTTTTTATCACAAAAAAAATGTGTTTTTCATGTACATGTAATTTTATTTTTTGCACAACTTATAGCCCCGTGACCCATACTTAATAATATTTTTGAAAAAGGCACGATATAAACTACTTTTTGGCAAATTATTAAAAAATTCTATCGATTTAATCTGGGACAATTATATATACTAACATATATATTATGTCCAAAATTTTATTTAGACCCTCCCCCCCCCACCACGACGACCACCACCACCACCTATCTGAATGAAAAAAAAATATGTTTATATATCAATTTAAGAATATGATATACATTCAACTGCGGCAAATTTTTGAAGATTTATAGAAATCAAACGAACTTGTTAAAATATATGATTACGGAAATTTGAAACATATTTTAGCATTTACAAAGTTAACCATCTTCCGGCGGAAGTGTGACTCTGACGTCAAGGATACAAATAAATTTGGCATCGAAATCTTGCACATAGAATTTCGAAATGGCAGATGGCACACATTCACAGAGTAATTTTGTCGATGAGCACCTTGACGATGACAAGCCACCAGGTGGCAAAGAATTCAAAGGAGCAACCCTACAAATAGATGCGCCATCCACACAAAACGGAGAAGAGCCAGGCGTTGGCTATGCTGGACCCGGATCCAACTTTAACAGAAATAGACCAGGAAGTGTGATTGGTAGACAGAGTGTAAGAAGTACATCAAGTAGAACCTCAATGAGACCAGGTGTTGTCAAAACTGAACGCATGTCTGATCAATACTTCTCTTATAAGGTAAATAGAAGTCTTAAAATCACCCCTTTTTAATTCACAAATTCTTCTCCCCCCCCTTTTCCTACAGGGGACTGGGGATTAGAAATATTGTCACTTGGTCTTCTTCTAACCAGCACTAAAACCCTTACCAAGGTCATGTCAGAATGGGGAGGTTAATTTAAATCTGATGCCTAGTGTTAAAACAGGGTGGGTACGCCTCAAAATGGGAAGTAGTTCCCCAAATTAGTCAGTACAACAATTTCCAGAGAACTCTCCAACCTTGTAAAGAGAATACCACTTCCTCTGCACATTAAGAACCCTTGCAACAATTCTTTGAGGGCCAAATTTCTGTCCCTAACCAATAGGCCGTACAGTTGCCTATAATTGCTTACTTCCACTTATTTGAACTTTGGTGGATAGTTGTCTCATTGGCAATCATACCACATTTCCTTATTTATATATATATATGTACCATCATTTCCAGAGGTGGTCTAAATTTCCTGACCTTCATTCCAGATGGCCTCTATTTGGTCTACACAAGACTCATCAGTGGCTCAAATCAAAAGTTGGGAAGGCCAACACAGGGGTTTAAAAATTTGGCTACAGCCCACTGGCACATGACTTGTTGGAAGTAGGATTTTACTTGTCCTGTTGGAAAAACTGCTACCACGAGACCTTTTATCAGTGTGATCGGGAAAATAATGGCAATATTCAAAAACATCCGTCTGGCGTATTTGATCACAAGTTTTAATTACCCGAGGTGTAAAGGTTCTAGCCAAGAGCGTCGGTCTAGTGGATTTTTAAACCCCTGCAACATCAAATGCCAATGTTACAATGTACAGGCTCTATAAAACTAGTTACAACATCGTAAAAATTAGGATAAGATATCTGGTTTGTAATAATTTGTAATCTACAGAGACTGCCAACTTCCAAACAAATGCATCTTAAAAAATTTAGTAAACATGGTAAAGTTTTTAAGTAATTTGAGGTCAGTCAATTACTGTAAACATGGTAAATGTAATAATTACCAGTCATACAAAGATAACATTCATTTAAATCTTAAACATCACTACAGACATAAGCATAGTGAAAGAGTAAGGAAATTTACACAACTACCGGTAAGCTACATGTAAATTAAATCTTTAAGATCAAGAAATAGCATCTGAAGAATAAAGTTTGATTTATAGGCGTGCTGTTTCAGTCAGAGGTGGAGGAGGCGTCAACAATGTAATGTTTGTGATTAGTTGGGTCAGTTAAAGGGGAACCATTTATGATAAGTCAATGATATTTGGTATGCAGCTGTATAATCATTGGCATATCTCATTCTTGTATGGCTGCGGAACCCTAACTATCAGGTCCTCATGAAATTTTTTGACAATAGTCAACAATTTTTTCAAAAAATTTTAAGGATCTAAGGGCTACGGATCTGCAGCTAATTCCCATTGAGATTAATTTGCCTTGCAATTTGAGTCAACGGTCATTGACTGAATGTTTTGCATAATTTTCATTTTAAATTATTGCAATTTTTTTTCAAACTTTGCATTTTATTACAAATGTATCAAATTACTTACAGGAGAAACATGTGTCAACAGTTTATAATTATTTACAATTGATATTTATATGAAAAAAATGTTATGAAAGTTAAAAAATTGGATAATTTTTTCTCCAATATTAGTTTAGGATGATGAAACCCCGTAACATAATCCACTTAAAAATGTATAACAAAATGAACAATGTGTAGGTCAATGTAGGTGTATTTGTTATGTGCTCATTATACATAGTTATACTACCTTTTATATTTTATATGTTACATATCATCATGATTATATGTATTAGACCTTTGTTGTACAGATAAATGATTAATTCTATTTATCATGTTAAGATGTGTAACATCTATATCATGTATGTGCGTTTTCTTTTTCTTTAAGGAGTCAAACTTTGATAAGGCTGTTGACAAATGTAAGGAAGTTATGAAAGAAGATTTAGATGGAAAGATACTTGGAAAGTATCTTCTGACTGAGTAAGTAAATATAAAATGTATTTATGTTAACATTCATAATGTATCGCTACATAACTATTTGTGGTCACATGTTTTTGCAAGAAATAATTATGATAATATTTAAGGATTTTCTATTATTTCATTGAAAAGGTAGATTTGAAGTAAACCTAAAGAAGATAACTTTGTAACACAGACATATGTCATTATACACATGTACAACACAGACATATGTCATTATACACATGTTCACAAGCATCTAAATGATATGAATAAAAGGATTAATGGGTATATATGTCATTGATGCAGCATCCAAACATTTGCCAAATATCGCACACAAAGAAAAAACAGAAGACATTTAGAGGTTGTCATATATACTGTCTTCAATATTGGACAAATGCCAAGGTATACATCTCAATGTAATGTTGTGTAATATCATCTGTTAGAACTACCATGCAGTTTATAGAAACAGGTGGGGAGCTTAGGGCAGGGAACATGTCACTCATATTACCCTATCCCCCTAATTAAATAGATAAAATACATCACTAGACTCAAATCCATGGGCATTTTTGAAATTCATGCATGTATAGGTAACCGTCTACTTATTCAGCATAAAACCAGATAGTGTTTTACTGGTCTTATTTCTGATTTAATTCTATTATTCTTGACTTAAGATCAAAACTTTTAATGGCTAGTTTACATGAGTTTTGGTAATATCATGGATATCAAAACTTTGGTGAAGACTGTAAACAAATAAATAGATAGATTCTACCATTGCATCGCTCGAGACCATTTAATTTTCCTATTTAAAACCTGAGGCTTGCCAAGCTTTTAAATTTTCAAATTTAACTCTAAGAGAGTGGAGAAATGTTGTATTGCACAGTTGTGGAATCTGTTTCTCTAATGATTTTAGAATACATGTAGACCAACTCCATCTTTCTTTTTGTATGATCTGCAAAACAAGTGTTCTTCCTGTGTGATGTCATAGGGCATGGTCACCTTTTTAGTGAGACACAATAAAAAAATTTAGAGGATAGCAAGAAAATTTGATGTCCGTTAAAATTCAATTGTGACTGTCACGATTGAATTTTGTCCAATGGAGAACTGAGATCAAATGAACCACTCATTGATTATAAAAAAATAATCAACTGGTTGGGAAAAGTATAAAAAAGGGTAAGAATTAGAGAAATACTATTAAGTACATTTTACATTTTCAGGATTGACCATTGGAATAACGAAAGAGAAAAGATTATTTTGTTAACTGAAGGATCTATTTTAGTATTCAAGTACAACTTTATATTAAACAAGCTAGAAGAATGGCGAAGACTCTTGCTACACATGGTTGACCACATTGCTATTGGAGATTTCAAATATCCTGACAAAAGCCTAATGCCGTAAGTTTAAAAATCATAATAAACATACATTTTCATATCTATGTACATTATGCATCACTAAAAACAAATTTATAAAATTTTCTAGTGCAAAATACAAACACATCCAACCTTTTAACTGACAAAAGTTAAGCATTTTTTTTAATAGTCTGACAAAAAAAGTGATTATCTTGTAAGAAGATACCTCTATCCTAGGCCTATGAAAAGAAAACAATTTTTTTTTTTGTTCAAGCTTGAAATTCCCACCAGTCTCACTGAAACTGTGCAAAGGGTGACAAATCGAATTCATTTTATACAAATTTGGTGAAAAGTTCCTATTCTTTAAAACAGAAACTTAGGATCTTTGAATTTTAATGCTGGGAGTATGGGTCACTACTAATTTTCCAAAATAACTGACTTCATTGGAATCTTTATGAGCGATTTAATAGTATAGAAGAAGTTCTAATGACTTCATAGTTGTTAAGGATTGAGTTTTTACGTCAGAATTTTGTTGTTAAATAAATATGGTTACCGTCTATACAAAATGAATTTGTCAATTAGTTGATCATGAAATTCAGATGAAACTGTATTGCACAAAGACTGAATGGTTGTTGTGACATTAAACTACATGTACATGATGTAGGGAATAATCCATATCATACTTATTTTGATAACTTGTTAGTTTACCCCTTTTTTTGTCCTGTCTAGCCTTGTTCAAATAAATAAACTTAACATCGTCAACATCAATGTTTGTATCATGCTGCTCCAAGATTACATGTAGCCCTATAATAAATATCATCAGTTTTTACCATCATTTTACAAAGTCAAAACCTGCACATTACCAAATATAAAAATAAGAAGATGTGGTATGATTGCCAATGGGACAACTCTCCACCAGAGACCAAATGACGTAGAAGTTATCCACAATTTGGCAGGAAAATAAATTTTTGTCAAACAAAACAAATGTACTGACTTGTGTAGAGTTTGTTGATGTCACATGCATGTGTAGTAAGACAAATTTTTGACTAGTGTTTGTTGATGTTGCATGTAAAATGTGTGTAGTAGTAGCAACACTCAAGTAGTTTATTTGATGTTGCATGCTCAATGTTACATGTATGTGTACATGTAGTAACGAAACCTGTGTAGTGTTAGTTGTTGTTGCATGTTTGTGAAGTATGTGTAATGGTTGAAGTAACACTAACAATATATGTATTTGTATGTTGTAACACTCACAAGTTATGTAGCCCGGCAGTTCACTGCCTTCAGTCTCCTTTTCAGTGACAGAGAACACGGTGGAATACAGATTCGGTGGAACAAAAATGAGGAACCGGGTTGGGCACAGAAATGGAATCCATTTTGTACAACTTTGCCATACATGACATTTTCTCATCACCCTGTATTGTATAATCCCAAGGTAGGAATTACATAAAACATTCAAATTATATGTAAACAGCTACTTAAGATTTTAACATACACTGATGTACAATCAACAGGATGATAATTATAAGTTATATAAATAAGAAGATGCTGTATGATTGCCAATGAGACAACATTCCACCAGAGACCAAATGACATTGAAATTAACAACTATAGGTCACTGTACAGTTATATTTGTCTGACAAACACATTTGACTGCACATATATGTACTACAAATATAATAACAGACAACACATCTGTCTGTCTGACAAAAACAATTTTCAAAACACTGCAAATATATGGAAAGACAGACACTTTGATCAACGCAGAACACATCTGTATGACAAGTGCAATTACCAACAAACAACGTGTACAACCTATCTGTGTGAAGAGCGCATTTATAAATAAAAGCAAATAGATGTATCAACACACAAAGCATTAATTGACAGATAACATAATTACAGTAGACTCCACCTAATCGGATATCGGCTAAACGAATATATCGGCTATTGTAATATTATTTCAAACACCAAACCCTTCCCTATATGTTTAATGCTAATTTTATTGTGTAATTGAATATCGGATATAAGAATATATTGGCAAATAGGATAAGAATATTCAGGAATTTTCATTCAAATCCATGCACAATTGGATATTTTCAATGTTTTTCTGACAGGTAATGGACCCGGAAGTTACGTAATTACAATCTTTCAGACAAGAAAATTTAGTTTTTACTAAATAAAAAGGAACTATTTCTTAATAAATTGTTGTCTTTATTCATTGTCTTCCTTTGTAATGTGAATTGGATGCCCTTTAAATTCAAATGGTTTGAATTTATTTATAGAATATACAAGAGCAGTACTTTGGGAGAATTTTGATAAAACTCTAAATGCTCACAGAATCAGAAATATAATTTAAACTGAATGTACCTCCTTCTGAATAATTTATTGCGATATACATATAAATCCCCTTTGAACAAGAGAAATCTAACTTTTGTCAGATATAATTTTGTAACATGTGCATGACCACATGTCATGGACGCCATTTTGTTTTGTTTACAAAATGTGAAGAAGCCTCGAGAACCATGACCTTAACATAAACAGTCTTCAGAAAACTTAAACTTGATGCAATAATATTTTATCAATCATGATTATCTTCATAAATTTAAATTTGATTATTTAAAGAAATAAAATATATAACAAATACAATTTTAGTTTAGAGATTGTATACAGCTAGAACATGCTTTGATCTATTTATAGCCCAATTAGCTTATCTGTGATAAATGTAAATAATGGATATTAATTCGTTTACAAAACAAATAAAGACACAAACTATGGATGGTAGATATTTATTCACATATATATTTCAGGACATTTGATTTATTTTAATAAATATAGGATTTAAAAACTGAAAACAAATATGAGCATTACATATCTAGCTGATAATCTTTTACACAAACATCGTGCCTTCATGGTGATGTAACTGATAAAAATCACTCAGTGTTCTCCCCAGGCCCTTAAAGGACCGTGGGCCCGCGATGTATAATTTTTACCATGGTGGTATCGTTCTTACCGCGATGTATAATTTTTCTCCGTGGTGCTAAAATTTCAGTTAAAAAATCGTAAATCGGTAAAGTTTTAAACGACTTGTTAAATCTTTTCCGTGCGGTATAAAATTCCAGGTGAAATTTGACCAGTTCAAACCAGTTCAACACAGATTGTTTACACCACGTGATCGATTTACCTTATGAGGTTAACCTTGTTGATTGGATTTAATCGATGTAATTAACACTTGTAACATGATTCTTTTGTGTTGTAATTAAGAGTTCATAACTTTATGATCACAGATAACTATTTTATGGCTTCACTCTCCACCCAAGCACTGGCCTGTGACAAGTCGGCAAATACTTTGTACACAAACAGTGTCTTGACCTGATAGGAACATTTTTTGTACATCATAATGGTGGCTCATTACGTATAATGGACAACTATACATTTCCCAATTCTTATATTATAGTATTATATGTCCCTGATTAAACCATGGCCAATATTATCTTTAATTATGACATTGTTATTGCATGAAAGTCGGGTTTCAAACTGTCTGTACATATCACATGACCCAGTTAGTTCACGTAGAATATTCAAGTTTATTTACAATTAATTGCAATCTATTATATTTTATAAATAAAATGCATGACTGTACCTTCAAACTGGATATCTATATCCATAATTAATGAATAACAGACGTAATCTTGCAAATTTTATCCATAAGCACATGTTAAATCTATTTATATCTACTTCCTGTCATTTAGGCGGGAAAATAGGGAGACTTAGTTGTTGACATTGAATATGGTTACTTATAGATCTATAGACCAAAGATAAATTTATAGATTTAGGAATTCTTTTTAAATGGTTCATGACAAATAAAGATTTAGATTTTAGGGCAGTATTAAGTCTGTATCTATGTTTGATTATCACCAAAGACAAGAAAGGTTAATATTTACATGAAATTCATCTATGGCAAAATGTTCTAAAATTTATGAAAAATTTGTTTTTATTAAAATCTAAGATAGAAACTGGTTCAAATAATAAAACAATATTTGCAATTGTTCTTGTTAATTTTATATCTTCTTATGACAGGAATCCTTTCACATACAACAACTTTTTTTCTAGAAACTAGAAAAATTTTTAAATTGAAAATTTTTGTTCTCTTTTGAATGATATTTTATTTTTATTGATTTTGGATTTTATAAAAGATTTAATTACTTTAAATTCAGATGAATATTTTATTATGAATCAAAATTTATTTATTTTAAAAAAATATTAAAGTATACAAACTTTTTTTTATTTACTTCTTTTTTACCAATAATTTTCTGAATCAATGTCTACATAACACAGTACCACAGTGTTAAAACAAAACAAGAGACATAAAAACTACAGTAACTAGAGCTAAGCGACGCGATGTGTCACAACTGATTGCATGAAATATTTCACCAAGAAGTCCACACGCGTTACCCTGGTGCTATCCAAAAATCCTGGGGAGAACACTGTCACTCCAGCCCTTTCATATATATAGCAGTGGTTAGGGCTAGTAACATCACAGGATTAAATCTACTCATTATTGCAGAATATTCAATGAATATATACATTTATCGTCTAATTGAATATAACGGATAATAGGATATTTTTTGCTGACATTTTGGGTATCCGATTTGCCGGAGTCTACTGTATTAAACATTATAAATATGATAAATATCTGTACAATAAACCCAAAAATCAATGCACGATACAAACTTGTGTAAGGATAACAAACTGAACAAATAATTTTTGACACCCAACACAAACCTGTATGACAAAAAACATGTATTTAAACACACAACAAAGCAAAAGGTGAATTAAGAGTTCAGTATCACAGAAAGTAAGCATCAAATATGTGTGAAAATTCCTTTCCAGGAAAATGAAACCGTAACATACAACGTAGATGAGTTTTATGAACATTTAGTCCAAGCTGTCAGTGAAAGTTACAAGAAGAAAAGACCTGGTGAGAAAGTGACAATCTTAGAAGGTCCTATACTTATTGAAAGCTACGCAAGTTTGTCATCTTTAATCTACAACCAGAGTGGACTCGGGTTCTTCATGGACAGGAACGGGATCTGTTTCTAGACATATTTTTGTTTTGACTGTTATTATTTATATGTAATATTTTCATTGCTGTTTCATTTTACCAGCATCCAATAACAAATAATGCTACCGAGTCTAATAGTTGAAATAAAATTGAAAAACCTAATTTTTTTATGCAATTAAGGCCACATACTGTTAAATGGATCAGCTGTTTATTGTATAAGTTATTTGTATAATATACATTTAAAAAATTTCATTAGTTAGATTTATAGAAATATTCTTATTGTTTAAAAAGACTAGGAAAAAATATAAATGCCAGTAAATTGTGTTTAAATGATAATTGTAACCCATTATAATATGTGTAATTATTGATAAAAAATAATTATAACAGTCTCAAATATGGCCTATGCCTATATCAGTGTTACATAAAATTGAGAATGGAAATGGGGAATGTGTCAAAGAGACAACAACCCGACCATAGAACAGACAACAGCAGAAGGTCACCAACAGGTCTTCAATGCAGCGAGAAATTCCCGCACCCGGAGGCGTCCTTCAGCTGGCCCCTAAACAAACATATACACCAGTTCAGTGACAATGAACGCCACACCAAACTCCAAACCGTACACAAGAAACCAAAATCAAAAATAACACAAGACCGACAAAGGCCAGAGGCTCCCGACTCGGGACAGGCGCAAAAACGCGGCGGGGTCAAACATGTCTATGAGACCCCAACCCTCCCCCTACACCTCCAGCCAATGTAGAAAAGTAAACGCACAACAATACGCACATCAAAATCCAGTCCAAGAGAAGCCCAAGCCCGATGTCAGAAGATGCAACCAAAGAAAACAAACAAAACGACAACAATACATAAACAACAACAGACCACCAGCAGCCAACCGACACGCCAGCCCCAGACCCCAACCAAACCGATCGAAAGACCATGCCCCCACCACACGAACACCAGGCACAATCCCTCCCGCTAGGGGTCCAGTATCACACCATCATAACATACACGAGAAGAACACAACCCGTGTCACGCCAACAACTGGTCTTTAAACAAATGTGTTCAGTGCCGATGCAAAGACCCTATAAGTGAATCAATACCAACGCCAAAACACGCAATCCCCAACGACCCGACAACAGTATCGTAACTATATCCCTTCTTAATAAGTCTATTTAAAGGTTTTGTTAGCTTCAGAGGTGAATACTGACATTTTTGTGCTTTATAAAGAATATTTCCATAAAAAATTGGATGTGAAATACCTGAACGTATAAGAAGTCTGCATGTTGAGCTATATTTACGAATGATGTCCTTATACCGATGATAAAATTTAGTAAATGTTTTGACTAGTTTGTGATATCGAAAACCCTGGTGTAATAATTTTTCAGTAATACATAAATTTCTCTCGTTAAAATCTAAAACATTGTTACATACACGAGCGAATCGTACAAGTTGAGATATATAAACACCATGTTAAATACATGTTTAGATTGTTAGGTATATATTTATTTACTTGTTTATTTATTCAGTTCCTTCATTTGTTTTACAAAAAAGAGAAACCCCCCAAAAAAATAGATACCTATATTCACATATTTCAATAATTCAGTTGAAAATGGAAAGTAAGAAAGAGAAAATCACACAAGTTAATCAACATGTAGACCAAATTTTAACTACATGTATATGACATTTCATCATAATTTTCATTTATTAGTTGCTGGACAACTCATTCGTGATAATCATATTAATTACACCTTTTTGACTGACATTCTATAAAAACAATGTGATGTGTATTTTTATGTTTTTGTTTTTGTTTGTGTAAATGTTTATCACTATTTAAATTGTAGCAGCTTTTTGAAATTTTAAAGTTCACTTAATGTTTAACACTATTAACATGATTAATGAGTATATCTAATATTTAAATTTTATAAGTTGAATGGCAAAATTTCAACTTCATTTATAAAAGTTTGAGCCCAAAACAAAAATTGTCTCTTTACAAATCAAACATTCATGAATGTAATGCAATAGAAAATGGACATGTTTCAAGTTATTTGGTTTAATTTTGCAATGAAAGCAACTTTAGAATACTTATTTTAAAATCCAAGTTAACCAGGATTTATTGTCAGTCCAGAGAAGTGATAATCCCACTATCTCAGGACTAGTCCATAAATGGATTATACATGTATAGAAGTGCATTGTATTCCTATAGCAATTTTATGTGCCATGTATCTTTATTTTGTGTTCAAATAGTATATATTTTATCTTTTTGTTAAATATTGTTTATTAGGATTATTGCAAAAACCCTTAGTTATAGGTAAACTGTACAGACAGTTAGATATCCTTCACTAAATGAAATAATTAATCAGCTTGTATATTTCAGAGCTTCATTCTACAAATGAATAGTTCTGCAACTCTTTTCACAAAAAATTTTACAAGTAAAAATATGCATAAGTCATGAACATTTCAGTATAACTTACAATCAATTTTAGTTGTAAGATTTTTTATAAAAAGAATTTATCTTCAAATAGTGCTATAATTCTTCAAATAGTGCTGGCCTTATCTTATTGCTAATCTGCTGTCTGTTTTACTCCAATGATATTTTAAATTGATAAGAAACATAGATAACATAATAGTTCTGTATCTTTTTATCTTGATAAAATTCCATTTTTGAAGGCAGCATTTCACACAATCAAAATCTTTTTTGTTAGACCTCTGTTGATATCTAGATGTAAATTAGTTATTTGTGTTGTTAAGTTGCAGTCTAATTGAAGTATACCCAGATCCTCTTTTTACCACTTTTGTAATGGTGTTAAATTCTTGTACAAGTTACAGCCGTTTTCATTGAGTGTGTAGGAATAGGTATTATCTTTGGTTAGCTTGCTTGTTAGCTGAACCATGAAGTCATCATTAGGTTAGGTAAACTACCCTCCTTTATGAGTAGACTAGTCCAACAGATAACCAATTCTATCTGTCTGTCGGACTAGTCTACTCATAAAGGAGGGTAGTTTACCTAACCTAATAATGACTTCACGCTTCAGCTAGCAAGCAAGCTAACCAAAGATTTTCCCTTTTCCTACACACTCAATGAAATCGGCTGTAATGTACACCAAATTTTGGATGTTGAATGAAAGTTGTATTACCATGCAATAACAAATATTAACTTGATCATGTTCAAATGTTTAATACAAAACAGAAAATTAATATTTTTGAATATTTTGTTTGCATTAATGTGATTTTGTGTTTATGTTACTGTATTTTAAAAATCATAGTAATGTTCTTAAAGAAATCCAGCATAATTTAAACATATAATAAACAAAAAGAACATTTCTTCCTCATCAGAAAATTTTGTCACAAACGTCACTAATACTAATGCATTTAAAGGGTGTAGGATTTATTGACTGATAAAAAGTATTTGACTTGAAATAGCATAATATAAGCAACAGTACAGTGATAAATTATTTTCCCTGATGACTGATTTTTAATTTAAGCTGTTTATTTTTGTGTTTTCAAAATATTTGTTCTATAAAAAGCCAAAACATTCAACTCTGAATTATATTTGTGCTGATTCAATATTACTATGTTTTACTATAGGAAAATCACTTTCTCCTGAAATAAGTTGTATATAATTACTACGTTTAATATGACATTTCATTATATTTTTATCTCTTTAGTTCTGTTTGTATTTAGATAGAGAGTTTCATTTTTTGTGTTTCAATTTAGAGGATTATTTATTAAAAAGTGATGAATGTATTTTTTTTTTTTATGTGAAAGTGCAAGTCACGAAGTAAGATTTGTTTCAGATCATATATCCTAACATATAGTGAAACATGATTTCCCTAAACACCTGTGCTCTCTACCTTATAAACTCCTATCTTATCCTAATCAAACTTTGTATTATTAATCACCACTACATGTTCTTGAATGTGTTTCGTGTACGTTTAAGAACGTTTAGGGAGTGAGAACATTACTGTCTTTTCCTACTTTTCCGATCCCTGGTACTTGACAGTCAATGGGTCAGTTAAATAGCATGTCTATTAAACTTCCTGTTTGCCTTTAAAGCCTTTCCATAAAACATACAAAAGACACAGGGAAGACACAGGGAAGACACTTCCAAATCTCAGCTTTGTATGGGTATCAAATACTTAAGGTGGTACATAACACTACAGGGAGATAACTCTGTAAAAATCAGCTGAACGTTTTAATCCTGTTCTATTGTTAAGGAAATATTAAGCTTCTCAATGATCAAAATCAGTGTTTGTCAAACTGCTATATATCCAATGAAATTTTTCCGATAAAGTGTGTGGTTCAAGTTTTTTGAAATTTTAATATTTTTGTCAAAGGATCAAAGTAAATATTTTGTCAAAATTTTATGAAAATTAAACGAGCCAAATTAATTTTAGTCAATGTGTTTGGTACCACCTTTATTGTATGAAAATGAAAATCTAAAATTTCCTCTATATGTGATTTCAATATTTTAAAATGTCTTTCTTTGGTACCTTTGTATGTTTTGATGGAATAGCCCTGAGCAAAGATTTTTTTTTGTAGTATTTGTGTAAGTGTTAGATACACTTATTGTTGAATTACTCAGAGATTTATTAGATGTGTAAATAATTCTATCATTGTACATATAAACATTTTTAGTTTAGCTGATATGAAATTATTTGTGATTTACTATGCAGTAGAGCATGGTAGTACAGTTATTTGTCGTAATACGTGTTAAGAAATCCAGCATCAACTATCAAGGTCATTCCATTTTCAGTTTTTTTGGTTTTTTTTAATTCATTATGCATTACTTTGAAAAAATGCTGTGTGCTATATAAATTTAGAAATTGTTTTATGTTTTATTTAATGTGAAAAATGAGATATGGTGAGGCAAGCTTAAATACAATATTGCATTTTTGATTTTCCGTGATATATTCTTTTTTATACTGAATCATTCTTACATTGTTTGGCTCTCTTAATCGATTTCCAATTATTTGGAGAAGATCCTGAAGCATTTTTAATTGCACACATGTACTTCTGAAAGTGAATCAAATTCTTTATTGAAAAATTAAGTCTCTTTTTTTTACAAATAACTGGCAAAGTATTGTGGACAATAGGACAACCTGAACTTAATGTAAATGTTTTTTGTGGGAAAAGATCAGAAAAACTCATGCAATAGCTACTCTGCAGGGCATTTTGAAAATTGCACGTATATGTTGTATCATCATTAACATATCTGTCAGTTAGGGAAACGAGCTAAGATAAATATGATTTGATATATTTGAAAGTTGATATGACCATTTTAAATTATTGAAATATAGGAATAGGGCATTTAAAGTAACAGGTAAATTCTTGTTACTACTCTTGACTATTTAATAACTTACATGTATGTGCATCTATTAAAAATAAATTCTGAAATTCCTTTCAGTCTTTTATCAGAG